GCCCTCGTGCGCCTTGTCTTCCTCGCGCCCTCGTGCACCTCTCTCTGCTCGTGCGCCCTCGCGCGCCTTCTCTCTCGAACCGCACGCGCGCAGCTCGCTAGCCGCCCGCGCGCGGCCCGCTTACCGCGCGCGCGGCCCGTTATTCGCCCGTGCGACCAGGACCGCCCTCGCGCAGCCCGTCGACCGGCCCTGCTGGCCGTCCAGCGCGCCGCAGCCCCGCCAGTAGGCCGCCGCCTCGCACTCGTAGGCCGCCGCCCGCACGAAAGCCGCCGCCCGCACGTAGGTTGCCGCCCACTCGTAGGCCGCCGCCCGCACGTAGGCCGCCGCCCCGCACAGCAACAGCACACCGCGCGCAGGCCCGCCGTCGCGCCGCCCTGCCTGCCCGAGCCGCGCCGCGCCGCCCTGCCCGAGTCGTGCCGTCCTGCCCGAGCTGCGCTACCCTGCTGTGCCACACTGCCCCACCTGCAGCAACTGCTGCTCCTGTTCCTGCTACTACTGCTGTTCCTGCTGCTACTACTGTTCCTACTGCTACTGCTACTGCTGCTACTGCTGCCCCTATGGCTAGTCTCACCGTTCTCTCTTTCGATGCTGAGGGCCGTCCTATTCAGTTTGATGCTTGGCTCGACGACCTGCACCTGTTCCTACAGATCACTGCTAAGGACGATGTCTCGCTGTATGATCACGCGTCCGGAACCGCTCTAGCACCTGCTGAGACTGCTGACAGTACTGCTCGTTCCCAGTGGCAGACTCGTGACGCTCACGCTCGCCTAGCCATTCGCAGCCACCTGCCATTAGATGAGCGCACGCATTTTCGCCAGCACAAGACTGCTAAGGCACTGTACGATGCTGTAGTCGCGCGCTACTCCTCACCTGCCTCTGCTACGATCGGTCGTCTCTCGCTGCCCTATCTTTTCCCCGATCTGGCCGCCTTTCCCACCGTAGCTGACCTCATCACCCACCTCCGCACTAGTGAGACTCGCTACCGTGCCACCCTTCCTGCTGAGTTTCTCGCCAAGAACCCCCCGCCGATGTACCTCACTCTCTACCACCTCATCACCCGTCTCCCTGACTCTCTTCGTGCAGTCAGGGACCACTTTCTCGCCCTCTGCCCCACCGAGCTCACCGTTGACCTGCTCGAGAAGCACCTGCTTGCAGCTGAGGCTAGCATAGTAGCTGTAGGTGCCTCTCATGGCGACCCCCGCACGCCTTTCTTTGAGGGGTGTTCCCCCGTCCCCCTCCTCCCCTCTATCGCCTCTGCTGCTGCTGTCGACTACCTAGGTGCTGAGGAAGTCGGGGCTGCGTCTGCTCCTAGTGGGAGGCGCAAGGGCGGCAGGGGCAAGGGGGGCAAGGGTGGTGGGGGTGACGGCGGGGGAGGTGGTGGTGGTGGTGGTGGCGGTGGTGGGGGAGGTTGCGGGGCTGGGGGAGTCAGTGGCGGCGGCGGGGGTGGTGGCGGCAGCGGTGGTGGAGGTGGCTGGGGTGGAGGCGGTGGTGGGGGCAGCGGTGGGCGTGGTGGCGGCGGCTGGGGTGGTGGTCGGGGTGGACCGGCGCAGCGTGGAGGTTCGGGTGGTGTCCAGCGCCAGCAGCAGCGTCTCGGAGAGACCCCGTCGCCACAGCAGCTTCTAGAGTGGTACTCTCAGCATGGGGGGTCTGGGGGTGGAGGTACCTGCCCGTATGTCATCCGCACAGGTGACCGCGCTGGTCAGACGTGTGGGAGGCCCCACACGCAGCAGCGCTGCTTCTCCCGTCTCGACGACGCCTGGCGTGCACAGTTCCCTGAGTCCTCTGAGCTGCCCCGCTGGGCTGATCTGCTTAAAAGGAACATTGATATCTTTGCTCTTGACTTTGATGATATCCTTGGTGCCATGTATGCATTGACTACTAGTGTTGAGGGTGACTGCTACCTGTGTGTCCCGCCCGACCCGGGCATTGAGACCAGTGAGGGTGCCGCTCTAGGTGCTAGTGCGTCTGCTGCCCCAGGTCCTAGTGAGGCTGCTGCTCTAGGTGCTGGTGAGTCTGCTGCTTCAGGTGCTTGTGAGGCTGCGCCTTCAGGTACTGCGTCTACTGAGGCACTGCACACCTTCACACTGGATTCAGGTGCGTCCCGCTGTTTCTTTCGCGACCGCACTGCCCTAGCGCAGCTCCCTAAACCCTGGCTGACCCCTCTGGGGGTCCGGTCCTTGCGACCTCCACCACTGCCCTCCCTTGTCCTGCTGTCCCGTCCGGCACACTGTCGGGTCTTTACCTCCCCTCGTTCTCTACGAACTTGGTGGCGGGTTCCGCGCTCCAGGACGCGGGTGTTCACCAGTTCACCCCTGCCTATGAGCGTGTGACACACTGCACGTGTGCTCAGACGGGTCGTCACCTGGCTACCTTCAATCGGCAGCCGGGGTCGGACCTGTACACACTGACCACTGAGTCCCCTCAGGAAGCTGCGTCTGCGTCTGCGTCAGGTCAGTTGTCCGCCCCCTGTTCGAATCGCACATTGTCGCACCGGACGGTCCTCTGGCACCACCGCCTTGGTCACCCTTCGATGCAGCGCCTTCGTGGCATGCACTCCCGTTACCTTGTCTCTGGTCTCCCCAGGTCACTGCCTCCCCTGCCACCGTCCCCTGCTCCTCCCTGCCTTCCCTATGTCGAGGGGCGGCAGCGTGCCGCCCCTCACTCCTCAGAGTTTCCCCCGACGGAGGCTCCTCTGCAGACCCTTCACATGGACGTGTGGGGCCCAGCACGCGTCCGTGGACAGGGCGGAGAGCGCTACTTCCTGCTGGTAGTTGACGACTACACGCGTTACACCACGGTCTTCCCCTTCCACACCAAGGGAGAGGTCCCTGATGTCTTGATCCCTTGGATCCGCGCTACCCGTCTCCAGCTGGAGAGGCGCTTTCGCACGGACCTTCCCGTCCTGCGACTGCACTCTGACAGAGGTGGTGAGTTTTCCTCCGACCTCTTGAGAGCCTTCTGTCAGGGGGAGGGCATTGAGCAGAGGTTCACGCTTCCGGCCTCTCCGCAGCAGAATGGGGTTGCTGAGCGCCGCATTGGCTTGGTCATGGAGGTCGCTCGTACCTCCTTGATCCATGCGGCTGCCCCCCATTTTCTGTGGCCGTTTGCGGTCCGGTACGCCGCGCATCAGCTCAACCTCTGGCCCCGTGTCTCTGTTCCGGAGACCTCGCCGACACTGCGTTGGACGGGAGAGGTTGGCGATGCGTCCGTGTTCCGGGTCTGGGGATCTCGTGCCTTTGTCCGCGATACGTCCGCGGACAAGCTCTCCTCCCGCGCCGTTCCTTGTGTCTTCCTTGGCTTTGTCCCTGGCGCGCCTGGCTGGCAGTTTTACCACCCCACCTCGCGCCGTGTCTTCCCCTCTCAGGACGTCACGTTTGACGAGTCGGTCCCCTTTTACCGTCTCTTCCCCTACCGCACTGCCCCGCTCCCCCCTCCGCCGCTCTTCCTCATGCCAGGTGCTGCGTCGGTAGACCCCCTCCCTCCCCAGGGTCCTGCTCCCTCAGGTGTTTCCCAGGTAGACCCGGTCGAGCCTGTTGAGGTAGCTGTCGACTCTGGTCCTGCGCGCGGTACTGAGCCTGAGCGTGCTGAGCCTGGAGGTGCTGAGCTTGGGGGTGCTGAGACTGGGGGTGCTGAGACTGGGGGTGCTGAGACTGGGGGTGCTGAGACTGAGGGTACTGAGCCTGGGGGTGCTGAGACTGGGGGTGCGGAGCCTGGAGGTGCTGTGACTGGGGGTGCTGAGCCTGGAGGTCCTTAGCCTGGGGTACTGCGCCTGGGGGCACTCTCTCTTCACAGGAGCTGCGTGAGTGGTACTCTCAACACTGCCGCCGCCGACGTGGTGCTGTAGGAGCTGGGGGTGCTACTGGAGCTGGAGCTGGAGGTGCTGGAGCCACTGGTCCTGGAGGTGCTCGTACTGGCGGTACTGGAGCTGCTGGGGTTGGAGGTGCTACTGGAGCTGCTAGAGGTGCTGGTGCTACTGGAGCGGGAGCTCCTGGAGGTGCTACTGGTACTGACGCTAGTGGAGCTGCAGGGGCTGGAGCTGGAGGCACTGCCGCTCGTCCTACTGGAGGTGCTGGAGCTGACGGTGCTGCTGGAGCTGGTGCTCCTGGGGGTACTGGAGTTGGTGCTGCTGGAGCTGCTGGCGGTGCTGCAGGAGTTGGAGCTGACGCTGGGGGTGCTGGTGCTGTCTCTGCTGGTTCTGGAGGCGCTGCGCGGCCGCGGCCGTACTTCGTTCCGCTTCTTCAGCAGGTTCTTGTTCTCCCACCTGCTACTGGTCCTACTCTCGCTTTAGAGTGTCCTCTGCCTGTCCAGTCGCAGTCACAGTTACAGCCTGCCTCGCCACTCCCTGGTCCTTCTGTTACAAGACTAACTTAACTTAGGAACCGGGTTTAGGGCCTAGGCTTAGAAGCCTAGGCCAAGCGGGTGTCGAGAGAGTTGTGCCAAGAGAGAATCGAGAATGAGTGGGTTCACTAGAGGACCAAAGGTACATATAGCAAACAAACACGTGCACCACCAAGCAAACAATCAGATAACTACACTATAGTAACTACAGCAAGCAGGATATATTAGATATAACTTTAACACACCCCCTTAGCCTGCTTGCAGTAATAACTAGTGCAGTCAACACCCCCTGAAGGGGTAGAGCAGGCGCGGTGGGAGACGGCAGAGGGGTACGTGAGGGGAGGCGGCGAGAGGGAGAGAGGAGAGAAGATGAGATAAGAACACAGGAGGAGGTGAGTGAGTGATGAGGAGAGGAGGTGGGGGGGTGGCCGCGGCGTCCCCTCTTACTAACCCCCTTTTACGAAAGGGGGGGGTTGAGTGGGGGATGAGGAGAGGAGGTGGGGGGGTGGCCGCAGCGTCCCCTCTTACTAACCTCCACATCCCCACCCCCAATTAACCACCCTCCTTCAACCTCACCCCCCATTTCAGCCGCCCCCTGGAACCGCACCCCCTCCCTCCCTTCCTTCCTCCACACCCCTGCCCCACCTGCAGTTGTCTCTGCCATGTCCTTCACACTGCAACCAGCCCTCCCACCCCCCCGTCCCCGCCACCTACCCCCCACAGTAGCAGCCGCGGGAGGGGAGAGGCAGGGCAGAGGGTGGTGCTCTGCTGGCGGGGTTCTCTGCTGGCGGGGTTCTCTGCTGGCGGGGTTCTCTGCTGGCGGGGTTCTCTGCTGGCGGGGTTCTCTGCTGGAGGGGTTCTCTGCTGGCGGGGTTCTCTGCTGGCGGGGTTCTCTGCTGGAGGGGTTCTCTGCTGGCGGGGTTCTCTGCTGGAGGGGTTCTCTGCTGGCGGGGTTCTCTGCTGGCGGGGTTCTCTGCTGGCGGGGTTCTCTGCTGGCGGGGTTCTCTGCTGGCGGGGTTCTCTGCTGGCGGGGTTCTCTGCTGGCGGGGTTCTCTGCTGGCGGGGTTCTCTGCTGGCGGGGTTCTCTGCTGGCGGGGTTCTCTGCTGGCGGGGTTCTCTGCTGGCGGGGTTCTCTGCTGGCGGGGTTCTCTGCTGGCGGGGTTCTCTGCTGGCGGGGTTCTCTGCTGGCGGGGTTCTCTGCTGGCGGGGTTCTCTGCTGGAGGGGTTCTCTGCTGGCGGGGTTCTCTGCTGGAGGGGTTCTCTGCTGGCGGGGTTCTCTGCTGGCGGGGTTCTCTGCTGGCGGGGTTCTCTGCTGGAGGGGTTCTCTGCTGGCGGGGTTCTCTGCTGGCGGGGTTCTCTGCTGGCGGGGTTCTCTGCTGGCGGGGTTCTCTGCTGGCGGGGTTCTCTGCTGGCGGGGTTCTCTGCTGGCGGGGTTCTCTGCTGGCGGGGTTCTCTGCTGGCGGGGTTCTCTGCTGGCGGGGTTCTCTGCTGGCGGGGTTCTCTGCTGGAGGGGTTCTCTGCTGGCGGGGTTCTCTGCTGGAGGGGTTCTCTGCTGGCGGGGTTCTCTGCTGGCGGGGTTCTCTGCTGGCGGGGTTCTCTGCTGGCGGGGTTCTCTGCTGGCGGGGTTCTCTGCTGGCGGGGTTCTCTGCTGGCGGGGTTCTCTGCTGGCGGGGTTCTCTGCTGGCGGGGTTCTCTGCTGGCGGGGTTCTCTGCTGGCTGGGTTCTCTGCTGGCGGGGTTCTCTGCTGGCGGGGTTCTCTGCTGGCGGGGTTCTCTGCTGGCGGGGTTCTCTGCTGGCGGGGTTCTCTGCTGGCGGGGTTCTCTGCTGGCGGGGTTCTCTGCTGGCGGGGTTCTCTGCTGGCGGGGTGCTCTGCTGGCGTCTGGTGCTGGTGCTGGCGTCTGGTGCTGGTGCCTGGTGCTGGCGGCTGGCGCTGGTGCTGGTGCCTGGTGCTCGCTCTTGACAGCCGCCCACCACCTCTTTCGCCCTGATCCTCCCTCCCACAGCAGCAACAGCGGCAGAGAGAGGGGAGGAGGGAAGTGTGGAGGCGGCTGATGCTGCAGCAGTTACTCCAGCCACCCCCGCACACTCCACCCCCTGTGATGCATTGTTGGGCGGCAGCAGGTGCTGCTCGCGCTGGCGGTCGCTGCTGACATCCGCCCACCACCCCCGTCCCCAACTCCTCCCCCCTCATGAACCGCCAACCCCCACTCCCCCTCCCCAGCCGTCCCCCACGGGCCAACACACCACCAACTCCCCCTCCTTTTGGAAACGGAGCGGGATCTGACGGCGAGGCAGGGACGAGGCGGGACGACGGGATGGTCGCGGGGTGCGGGTTAGGACGGGATACGGGGGATCTGCGCGGACGGTTGGTGAGCTGGCTGGCGATCCGCCGCCACGCCCTTCGCGTTTCCCTCTCTCTTCCCCACAGCGACCGTCGCTGCACACGCGAGTAGCCGCGACGAGGGGATGAGCGGGTGGCGAGGTTCGTACGGGCGACGGGAGGCGAGCAGGAGGCAGGATGCGTACGGGGCATCGATCTGGGTGCGTGCTGGGCGCGGACAAACTGACGTCGGCGACGGTCGATGGCGCAGGTCAATGGCGGTCGTCGCTGACGGTGCATTTGTCGCGGTTGGCGCTGGTTAGCGTCACTATCGCGGCTGACGCTGGACGGCGCAGATGTCGCTGCTGGTGCTGGTCGTTCGCGGCTGGCGGCTGTTGCGGCGGGCTCGACGGCGGATCCGTCGGCTCGCTTGGCGTGCTCGCTGGCGATGTCGCTGGTGCGCCGCTGGAGATTTCGCTGGCAATTTCGCTGGCGATGTTGCTGGCGGGTTGCTGGCGTTCGCCTTAGCGTCCGTCGCGGCCGTCGTGCTGAGCGCCACGACGCGACAGGCGACGGGACGGCCGCGAAGGTACTCGCCGTGGCGCCCGTCACCACGGTCGAAACTAAGGACGTCACGGGCGCCGTGACGAGTGCGTCAAATGGTGGGCCCATAGGAACGTTATGGCTCGATACCATGTTACAAGACTAACTTAACTTAGGAACCGGGTTTAGGGCCTAGACTTAGAAGCCTAGGCCAAGCGGGTGTTGAGAGAGTTGTGCCAAGAGAGAATCGAGAATGAGTGGGTTCACTATAGGACCAAAGGTACATATAGCAAACAAACACGTGCACCACCAAGCAAACAATCAGATAACTACACTATAGTAACTACAGCAAGCAGGATATATTAAATATAACTTTAACACCTTCTCCCTACACTGGTCCGACAGGAGGTCTTACGGAGCGTCGTGAGCCTGAGTCTCGTCCTGCGTCGCCTGAGTCTCGTCCTGCGTCGCCTGTTCGTGCTGCTCGCACTGGTCGTCGTGTTCCGCGTCAGCGTCCTCCTGATGTCCCAGGCACACACCAGATGGCGCTTCGTCCTTCCACTGCTCCACAGCGTGTCCCTCTGCCGTCTCCTCTTGCGTCCTCTCTTCCTGCCCTTGCTGACCCGGAGTCTGACTCCCTTCGTGCTGCTAGTCATACTGTCACGCGTCTCCTGGCCACTGTTGTCACTGACCCTTCCTTTGAGTCCACTGCTGCGTCTGCCTTAGTTGCTGAGCTTGTCGACTTTGCTGCTCGCTGTCGTCTAGACTACGCCGCGAGTCTTGTTGCTGAGTCTGAGTCTGTCTGTCCTCCATTCGTCGGGGGTGAGAGTGCTCTTGGCACGGACGTCCTTGAGGACAGACAGGAGGAGTTTGAGTGCTTTGCCGCTGCTTTACCTCATCTCGTGTCCATGCTGATTGCCCCTGAGGGAGACCCGGATGCACCAGACATCCCGACCCCGCGCTCTTACGCAGAGGCGATAGAGGGTCCCTACTCCTCTCACTGGCAGTCAGCCATGGACGCAAAGATGGCTTCCTGGAAGTCCACAGGCACCTACGTCGACGAGGTTCCCCCGCTTGGGGCGAACATCGTCAGTGGCATGTGGATTTTCAGGGTGAAGCGGCCGCCGGGTTCTCCGCCTGTCTTCAAGGCGCGTTACGTTGCACGAGGCTTCAGTCAGCGTGAGGGAGTTGACTTCTTCCAGACCTTCTCCCCTACCCCGAAGATGACCACTCTTCGGGTTCTGCTGCACGTTGCTGCTCAGCGTGACTACGAGCTCCACTCTCTTGACTTCAGCACTGCTTTTCTACAGGGCAGCCTGCACGAGGAGATCTGGCTGCGCCGCCCACGTGGCTTCACTGGGTCGTTTCCTGCTGGTACCCAGTGGAGCCTCCGACGGCCAGTCTACGGTCTCCGCCAGGCACCCCGTGAGTGGCACGACACACTGAGGACTACTCTTGCTGCTCTTGGGTTTGCTCCTTCCACTGCTGACCCGTCGCTGTTTCTACGCACCGACACCACTCTGCCGCCGTTCTACGTTCTCGTGTACGTAGACGACTTGGTCTTTGCTACTGCTGACACTGAGGCACTCGCCCACGTGAAGTCGGAGCTGCAGAAGAGAAACACGTGCACAGACCTGGGTGAACTGACAAGTTATCTTGGCTTGCGGATCACCCGGGACAGAGCACAGCGCACCATTACCCTGACTCAGTCACACATGGTGCAGCAGGTCCTTCAGCGCTTCCGCTTCACGTACTCCTCGCCACAGTCCACTCCTCTGCCTACCGGTCACTCGCTCTCAGCTCCACCTTCGGACGAGTCCGTAGAGCCGAATGGCCCGTACCCAGAGCTTGTGGGCTGCCTCATGTACCTGATGACCTGCACTCGACCTGACCTAGCCTACCCTCTTAGCATCCTAGCACGCTATGTCGCTCCTGGCCGTCACAGGAAGGAGCACATGGATGCCGCTAAGAGGGTGTTGCGCTACTTGTGCAGTACGTCGGGCATGGGGCTCGTGCTTGGAGGACGGGCTCGAGTTGTCCTCACTGGTCACGCAGACGCTTCTTGGGCTGACGACTTGGCTACGCAGCGGTCGTCACAGGGTTACACCTTCAGCCTTGGCTCCGGCTCTGTGTCTTGGCAGTCTACTCGCTCATCTTCTGTTCTCAGCTCCAGTTGTGAGGCTGAGATCTACGCAGGGGCCATGGCTGCACAGGAGTTACGCTGGCTCACCTACCTGCTGACCGACCTTGGAGAGCCGCCTCGTTCTCCTCCAGCGCTGTACGTCGACAACAAGGCCATGATTGTCTTGTGTCAGGAGCACAAACTGGAGCACAGAACGAAGCACATCGCTCTGCGCTACTTCCTTGCTCAAGAGTTGCAGCAGCGTGGTCAGCTGCGTCTTGCGTACGTGGCCACTCCGGCCAACACTGCTGATGTATTCACCAAGGCTCTTCAGCCTTGTGATCATCGGCGTTTCTGCACTGTTCTAGGCCTTGTGCCTACCTTGCCTCACTTGCTCACTTCCTGACTTTGCTTGTACTGTGATCTATATATCTATACCTGCATGCTTCCACTTGCTAGGTTTTGATCACTGTCCTGTTTGTTCTATGCTATATAACTATGCATGTGAACTGGCCTTGTGGCCATCTGCTTGTGCTCAGAATGTGTGGTGACGTTGTGATCCACCCTGGGCTTGCTTTGCTTTTCTTGACTGGTCTTGTGACCCCTTGCTCTCCCCCACTTTGCCTATGGGGGTGTGTCAAACTTATACTCTACAGTTTGTTTAGGCTGTAGTGGGTTAGTTACTATGGGGTACAACAAGTTTAGGTTTCCTACTTGTACCCACCCCTTTTCTAGTGCAATCATCCTTTGTTGATTCTGACAGGTCGAAGAACTCTGGTCGAAGAGTTCTGGTCGAGGAGCTCTGCTCGGCGAACTCTGTTCGACCGAGCGCTGGCGAGTCCTTCGACCGAAGTTGCAGACTTCTGCGAAACTCTGCGGAGGCGTGCGAACTTTCGCCCAGGAGATTTTGGCGAAGTTCTACCTGCGGAACGGCATCACGTGGTCGACGGTGCGCACCTGGCGAAACCGACGACCCGTTTTCTACCTGGCACCTGCGCAATGTGCCTAACGGTGAAACCGCCAACCTGCACCTACTTGGTTGGTGCGCACATCTGCGCAGATAGACAACCTGCGACTGTAGATAGTTACCTGCGACTGCAGATAGTCACCTGCGACTGCAACGCTGGCAGACCGCGCGCAGTGCAACGTTGGCAGAACACTCTGCTGCAACGTTGGCAAGCCGCTCTTCTGCTGCGCTGGCAGATTTCGCCCTTGCTAGGAGTTCCATGCCATTCTAGTTCCTTTTGTTCTGCATGCCTCAATTGTACTTCCAACTTTTCATTGCAAGTTGTTCTTTTCCAATTCCTTAGTGGAAACTCTTGCCAAACTTCTTTGTGAACACAGCAAGCAGTAAGAATTTTAGAACAACGCTACGATCACCCGCACAACTCCGTGCCCTCCACCGTAGTCCTCTCCCGTTGTGTAGTGACTCTCCGCGCATATGACGGTGGGTGTCAGAGGTCTACTGAAGATCCCCGATTGATACTAGGGAAGGGTTACAGACATATTGGCCTGGGGGGTTATGGGCGCGCTACACAAACAAGCCCTTTTATCCCAGTGGTTAGTGGTTTTCTGACATGTTATCAGAGCGAAGGTCTCGGGTTCAAATCCCAGTGTGTGCACCTCGGATATCCAACTGCAAGGGGGTGTCAGAGGTCCATTAGAGTTTCCCGATTGATCCTAGGGAAGGGTTACCGGCACGTTGGCCTGGGGGGTTATGGGCGCACTCACACGCTACACAAACAAGCCCTTTTATCTCAGTGGTTAGTGGCTGGGATTCTGACAGTAGGACACTAACACACACTGATGTCACTTTGCGGCAAATGGTTTTTTTTTTTTTGAGAAATGAGTGACTCCTTTCATTGTTTTTGTTTCCTTAGCCTGGGTACATGTCTCTGAGCATCATGGAAGAGCTACAATTCAATCATGCCTAGCACAACTCTGTGTATTGTAGTGCTGTTGTTAGTTAGCTCCATTGCTAGCACGAACTGAATTATGGTAGTCCGAGTTTTGTAAGGTGATATTCTCTTAGCGCGGTGAAAACTGTTATTGCTCGTTATAGGCACCTTATCCACGTCAGCCCTCGCGCATTCAAAAACATGCTGGTTATGACGTCGTCCGCGGGCATTCCTGTGTGCTCCCGTGCTCTCTTCTTTCCCCTTCATCCACTTCCCCTTCTCACCCATCACGACTCACAACCAAAGCTCGCCTGCCGCCTCCGCTTCCCGCCATAACTTCCCCTCGCGTGCTTCATGCTCACTCGCTCGAGCATTCCCCTCCGCGCGCGGGGAGAAAAGGCAGCGCATCCTTTAAATTTTCGCGCGCGGAGGGTGGGTGGTGTGGGAAAGAGGGGTGGGGGATGGGGGAGGGGGGTTTTCTCCTCCCCCCAGTGGAGGCCTTGTCGATTGCTCGCTTCCTTCATCAGTTCCTCAAGCAAAACAAATTAACACCAACTCCAGCCGCTCTAAACCGTACAGCACATTACTGCATGCCATTGGTGTGTGGTACGAGGGGATGTGCGTGGATGGTTGGGTGAAGCATGAGACGAAAGTGAGACGCACAGCAACTTACCGTGACAGGCAACGACCTGGAAGTGGATTGATGGGCTTGCAGGTTAGTCGAGAGACGAAACTCGCGATTTGGAACTTCACAGGCGGCGGTTAATAATTGCGGAGCGAGGAGAAAGACGGAGCCAGAGCGCGAGAGAGCGAAAGCAAGAGGGAGCTACGCGCGGGATGCAAGTACTCGCCACGTCGCGCTTCCCACATTCGCGTCGCAGCCCGCACTGCCGATCGTGGAGTTCTTGCGATTGCGCGCTAGCGCGCTTGCTGATTGTTCAGATTCACGGATTCGCCAAATACTTGCGGAAGCGCACTGGAAGTGGCCGCGAATCAGTGCCAGCTGGTAAACTTCCTATGTCCACTTCGCCATTCGCCATTCCTCACTTCGCCGGTCGCGAATCTCGCGCGATCCGTGGCTTCGTCCTCCCCTCTCAATCGTCGTCGCCCTCACTGCTGCTTGTAGCGTGAATCCCGCTCGTTCACGCCACGTCTCTCGCTCTAGTCCTTCGAATCTGCTCTGGGAAGCCGTCGTGTTATGATGTTTCACCTAGGCCCGTTCCAGGCAGTTAGACGACAGTAAGTGTTCTCGCCCACAAGAAAGGGAGTCCGCAGGAGGAGGAGGAGGTACCGTCGAGCGAGATTTGCGACGTGTCGCAAGCCGACGGGACCGCGTCAGTGAAGCTGACTGATCGCTCAGCGGGGAACTTTCACCACGGACACCGTCCGATCTTCCCCTCTCTCACGCGCGCACACACACACCTTCTCTCATTCACTTCCACCTTACTTTCTCACTCACTCCTACAAGTGCACGCACTCAGTGCCTCACACCCCCCTTGTACTTCTTCACACCACGCTCCACCTCTCCCCACCGCTCGATGCAACTCCACACTGCCTCATGGCCGTGGATCCTCCCGCCACGTGTCCGCATCTCCTTGCTTTCAAGCGCCGCGCGCCGTCCGCCGCCAGCCCGTATCGCCTCGTGCAGCAGTGCGTGCGACCCGGGCCTAATCGCCGCCCCGTCTTCTCCGTGACTCGCGGGACCGTTCCGTGTTGCTCCATCTGCCGCCGCACCGACGCGCGTCTTTACGTGTGCCTCACCTGCGGCGCCGTCCTCTGCCGGCCAGCCGCCGCCGCCACTGCCGAAGCGCCGCGCGGAGGCAGCGGTGCCGGCCGGCAGAACGATGTCGACGCCACCGCCGCGACTCGCACGCGATCCGCGCCAGGCGCTGCGGGAGCTCCGGCCGTAAGCCTCGCGTCGACGGCCGGACAGGATTGCGATGTAGGCGGAGGGCTCGCGGTCGGGTTACGCGGCGCGCACTCCAGCGCTCGCGCCAGCTTGGGGGAGATTAAGGACGATCAGGAGAGCGGAATCGCGGACGGGTGCAACGAGACGGCCAGATCTAGCGAGAGCAGCGGCGGCGGCGGCGGCGAAGGCGGCGGGAGCAGCGGGGGGGACGATGATGCAGGCGGACACGTGCTGAAGCACGCGCGAGAAGCCCCGCCGACGGCCGACGGGCGGAGATCCATTGGCGCGCGCGGAGGCAGCGGCGGTTGGGGCGGCGCGGGCGCGCGCGCGTCGTCGTCCCCCGGCAGGCCAGGGGGAAGCGGAAACATCGGCGGGGGTTCAAGACGCGGGGGGTCTGGCGCAGGGGTGGGAAGCGGAGGGGGAAGCACGGGGGCGGGAGCGGAGTGGGGGGGAGCGAGTCACTGTGTGTTTGTGGAGCTGGAACGAGTGGTGCTATACTGTGCTGCATGCGGGGAGTATGTGGTCGATGGTGAGTTCAACACGTGTGTGATTAATGCGGTGGGGGGTATGGGTGACGTGGACGGGCCAACGCTTGCTTGCCTCCCTGCTGCTACTGGAGCGGATGCTGCTGCTGCTCCAGGAGACGCAGCAGGAGCAGCAGGGCTCAAGACGGAGGGGATGATGATGGGGAAGAAGCGAGGGCTCAAGGAAGGAGTATCAAAGGAAGGCATATTGAAAGAAGGGATGCTAACAATGAGTGCGATGGCAACAGCGATAACATCAACGGGCCTGGGGGGTAGAACCACCCGGTTCCTACTTCCTCCTGGGCCTCAGGGCTCACCTGAAGAAGACCTGTGTGGGTATTCACCTGAGAATTCACCTGGGATTGGCGCGGACTCGGATGGGAGAGCAGTGCGGTTGCGGGAGGCGGATGGGACGGCTGTGAGTGTGAGTGCGAGTGCGAGTGAGCGAGGCAGCAGCTTTGCAGGTAGTGACAGCGCTGGTATGGCCCATGCTCCTGCTGCTGCTGCTGATGATGATGATGATGATGTTGATGATGTTCCTGCTGCTGCTACGGATGGTGACTCTGCGCTTGCTCCTCGTCCTGCTCCTGCCAGTAGCCCAGGCGGCGGGGGTTTCGGTATGGCTGCTCGTTCTGGCTCCTGCTCGTCAGTATCCCTCAGCAGTGGGGGGGACTCGGCAGAGGGGAAACACGCCCTGGCTGCCCCGCTTGGCGCAGGGCGGATGGAGGAGGGCAGGGGGGAGGGGGCGGAGGGGGATGGGGTTGAGGTGGGGGAGGAGAGGGGGGAAGGAGGAGAGGAGAGGGGGGAGGAGAGGGAGGAGGAGGAGGGGATGGAGCAAGCGGAGGAGGATGAGGAGGGATTGCAGGGTGATGCTGGGCGGAATGGTGGTGGTAGGGGTGCCGTGGGGGAGGGAGAACTGGGGAGAGGGGGAGGAGGGGTAAATGGAAGGGAGGCTTTGCTGGGGGAGGGGAGGAGCAAGGGCGTGAGAGAAAGGGGAGGTGATGGGAAGAAAAGGGGACGGGGCACTGGGTGGAGTGGGGCAGGGGCAGGGGTTGGGGCACACTCACTGGCAGCAGAAACAGCAGCCGCAGCAGCCGCAGCGACAGCAGCAGCAACAGCAACAGCGACATGTGCAGCAGCAACATCAGCAAGCCTTCGTGTCTCTTGGGAAGGGATGGTGGGTACAGGTGTGAATCAGGAGGCGAGGGTAGGGAAAGGCAAGAAGGAGCGGAAAGAGAGGGCGGAGAAGGGGCAGCAGCAGCAGCAGCAACAGCAACAGCAACAGCAGCAGCAGCAGCAGCAGGCGCAGAAGAATGTGCGGCCACCCTCACCCAGAATCACTCGCGCTGCTGCCAGGCAAATGCAGCAAGAGCAGCAGCAGCAGGGGACAGTGGAAGAGAAGAGGGAGCAAGGACAGGGGCAGGGTCCCCTGCAGGGGCAGTGGTTGGGAGGGGAAGTGGGTGGGGAGATACGAGGGGCGTGGGCAATGCAGGGGGGAGAAGAAGAGAGAGGGGTGAAAGGACGAGAGGGGAGAGCACTTAAAGGGGAGGGGGACAGGAAGGGAAGTGGAGGTGAACCCAGTGGTAAGGGGAAGGGGAGGCGGAAGGAGAGAGTGAGGGAGAGGGTGAGGGCGAGGGGAGGGGGGGATGCAGCAGAGGTAGATGTAGGCGCAGGGATGGGGGAAGGGGATGATACGGTTACAGGAGCCGGACTGGCAGGTGCTTTCCGGGCAGGTGTGGCTGCTGCTGTGACTCCTCTTCCTCCTCTTCTTGCCGCTGCTGTGAAGAGGCCGCGTTACGTGGTAACCAGGGAAGGGGGACACGTGGGACCAGAGGCCGCGAGAGAGAGAGGCAGGGCGGGGAAGGAAACAGCATCAACAGCATCGGCATTAGAGGATGAGTTCGTGGGGTTTAGTGTGCCGAGTAGTATTAGGGGCCATGTGGGAGGGGCAGCAGGGGAAGGGATACGCGCGGGAGTGGGTCAGGAGGTGGTGTATGGGAGAGGAGGGAAACGAGGAGGGGGAGGGGGGTCAGGTGTGGAGGAGGAGGGTGTGGTGGGGAGGAGTGTGAGCACCCGTGGGCGGAGGAGCAGAGCTGTTGTGGTCGCACCGACAGATGCGGGTGCTGAAACGGCAGCAACCGATGCAGCAGCAGCGGCGGCAGGAGGAGCCGGAGCAGGAGCAGCAGCATCAGCAGCACGAGCAGCAGCAGCAGGTGCAGGAAGGGGAAGGGGATGGAACTTCAAGAGGGCCGTTATAGCACAGTTACGGGGGGAGGCTCATGGCGTGGGGAAATTGGGTGGTGTGAGTAGGGGAAGGGATACAGAGGACCAAGCTGACGCGGAGGCAGAAGAGGAGGACGAGGAGGAAGAAGAAGAGGAGGAAGTGGAAGAGGGAGAGGATTTTGACAAGAAGGGGGTGAGGTTTCGAGAAGCAGAAGGAAGAGGGAGGAAGAGGAAGAGGGAGAAGGGGAAGAGGAGGAAGAAGAAAGGGCAAGGGGATGACGGGGAATGTACTGTGCAACAAAGACGCCGCTCTGTAGACGTTAGTGGATTGCACAGTAAAGGGTACAGCATTGGCGGAAAGAGAGCAGCAGCAGCAGCGGAAGAAAATGGGAATATTAAAGGCCACAGCGAAGGGCACAGCAGAGGACCTGTAAACGGCCGTCCCTTTGCTCCAAATGCTTCTGCTCCCCTTTCTTTTCCTCCGTCTCTTTCTCTTTCCCGTGATGGTTTGGGTGCAAAGCAGCGGGGAGTGGTGGGGGAGGGAAGGGGGGGGGAGGAGGGGCAAGAGGGCCTGGCGGAGGAAATGTTACACAAGGGGATGACTGATGCAGGGGCGGCAGGGAGGGAGGTGAGGAGGAGACAGAGGGGAGTGGTGGTGAGGGGAGAGCAGGAGGGGGAGGTAGGTGCATGGGTGGAGGGGCATGCAGGTGGGGCTCGTAAGGGGAGGGTGAGTGAGGGAATGGTGAGTGAGGGGATGTATGTTAATGGCAGCAATGGTGCTGTAGCGGTGAGAGGAGGGGGTGCGAGAAAGATGAGCATGGGAAGGCGAGCAGGGGAACAAGGTGTAAAAGGAGATGTGGAGGGGGAGAGTGCGGAAATCCCCAAGGGTGGAAGTGAGGGAGTGGTGTGGGGCGAGAGTGGGGAAGGGTACATGGGTGCGAGTGTGGGTGTGGCAGAGAGAGGCGTTTTAGAAACACGGGAGGTGCACGGGAGGAGAGAGGGGAAGGGCAAGGGCAAGGGAAGCAGGCGGAGGAGTGAGAATGGGAGGGCGAGCAGGGAGGGGCGGGAGGGACGGGAAGGGCGGGGTCTTAGCACAGGGGAGTTAGAGGTTGGGGGAGGGAGGGTGGGCGGGAGTGTTCTTGCCACGCCTCTAAGATTGGGAAGTGAAGAGGATAAGGCTGCGGTTACTGCTTCGGTGGTGGCGGGGGGAGTGGAAGAGGAGGTGAAAGGGGAAGTGGAAAGGGGTAGGGGAGGGATAAGAGAGGGAGGAAGGGGAGATGTTGGGGAGGCGTATTTTGAGCGTCCTAAGAAGGTGCGTATAATACGAGGGGAGTTGAATAGGGTGGTTGGGAGGGGAGGGGGCGAGAGTGAGGTTGGGGTTTCTGTGGCAAGGTGTGCAGAGGAGGGGGCTGTAGGAGGAACGGAGAGACGGGAGGAGGGAGAGTGGGGAGGCGGAGTAGAGGGGTTGGAGAGAGAAGAGCGAGGAGAGGGAGGAGAGAGAGGGGAGGGAGGAGAAGGAGAGGGCATGGATGGGGAAGGACTGGAGGGAAGGACGGAGCAAGGGACAAAGAGAGGGGATGAGAAAAGTGCGGAGGGCAGGGGGAAGGGAAGGGAGAGGAGTAAGGACAGGGCAGAGAAGACTGAGAAGGGAGAGAGGGAGGAGAAGGCGGAAAGAGAGGCATCAGATTGGCGCGGAGCGGTAGCAGCCAGGGAGAAGCAGGCCTTGGCCGAGGCAGCAGCAGGGGGAGTAGCAGGAGCAGGAACAGGAACAGGAACAGCAGGAACAGCAGGAGCAGCAGCAGGAGGAGCAGGAGCGGGAAGAGGAGGGAGAGGGAGAGGCAGAGATGGGCTGCCGTGTGGGTTGAGGGGTCTGAACAACCTGGGCAACACGTGCTTCATGAACGCCATTCTGCAGGCCCTCGTGCACACCCCGCCCCTGCGCTCCCACTTCCTCTCCCGCTTCCACTCCCACTCGCACAGCCACTCGCACGGGCAAAGCCAGGAGCAATTGCTGGTGGAATCCCTGCCCAAGCCCCTTATCCACAGCCAACCCGTAGACAAATCACAAGGCCATGCTCATACCCATGATCATGATCATGCTCATGTGCATGCACATGAGCATGGCCATGCCCAGGGGCACATGACTCCTCCCCTCTCCTGCAACCACAATCACAACCCCGACAATGACCCCCACCACAGGCCCAGCCGTGGCTCCCCGGATCCCCGCGGACTTGATGCACGCGCCCCTGTCGGCCAGCAGCAGTCGTTTCACAGCGACTCACATGGTGCCAATGCCACGCACACCACCAGCAACAACACCAGCAGTGCTGCTGCTGCTGCTGCTGCTGCTGCTGCACCCTCGCACGCAGCACCCCGCCCGTCCCTCAACCCCATGGCGCCTCACACAATGCCCACGCCCCACATGTCCCATGCGGCCCTTACAGGTGATACGGTTTGCATTCCCCCCACTGCCCAGGGTTTGTGGCGTGTGGGCGAACAGGGGGCGGGAGGGGCGGAAAGGCGACTGGGAGGGGGGAAATTGTGGGGAAAAGGAATGGGGGGAGGGCCAAAGGGGGAGGAGGAGGAGAGAGGGGGAGGTGGAGAGAGTGGGTTTGATGGTGGGAATGGTGGAGAGGACGAGGAGAGGAAGGATGAGGAGGAGGTGGGGAGGGATGGGCAGGGGGATGGGCTTCGTGCAAGGGTGGAGGAGGGAGGGGGGATAGTGGGAGGGGAAGGAGAAAGAGTCGGGGGAGGAGAGGCAGGAGGAGGTGCGGTGGCAGCAGCAGAAGCACCGGCAGCAGCAACAGCAGCAGCAGCAGGGGGGGTAGCAGCAGCAGTAGGGCGAGTGCGAGTGGCACCGTATGTGAATCCGTGTTTGGAGTGCGAGTTGGAGGGTGTGTTTGCAGCCATGTTCAGTGGCGAGAGGAGGCCCTTCAGCCCCGGCCAGTTCCTCTATAGGTGCGTGGGGATGTGCGTGGGGATGTGCGTGGGGATGTGCGTGGGGATGTGCGTGGGGATGTGCGTGGGGATGTCGTGGGGGGTGGGTGGGGGGGTGGGTGGGTGGGATGCATGCATGTGTCATGTCAGCCCATGCCATGTACTTAGCTGGTGGCTTGTGACAGAAAGCGATGCGAGCGACCAGCAGCAGGACGCACAGGAGAGCAGGATAGACCCCCTTTGTGCGCTCTCAGCCATCCCACCCTCTCAGCCATGATCCATCCCACCCTCTCAGCCATGATCCATCCCACCCTCTCAGCCATGATCCATCCCACCCTCTCAGCCATGATCCATCCCACCCTCTCAGCCATGATCCATCCCACCCTCTCAGCCATGATCCATCCCACCCTCTCAGCCATGATCCATCCCACCCTCTCAGCCATGATCCATCCCACCCTCTCAGCCATGATCCATCCCACCCTCTCAGCCATGATCCATCCCACCCTCTCAGCCATGATCCATCCCACCCTCTCAGCCATGATCCATCCCACCCTCTCAGCCATGATCCATCCCACCCTCTCAGCCATGATCCATCCCACCCTCTCAGCCATGATCCATCCCACCCTCTCAGCCATGATCCATCCCACCCTCTCAGCCATGATCCATCCCACCCTCTCAGCCATGATCCATCCCACCCTCTCAGCCATGATCCATCCCACCCTCTCCACTGCTTCATCGGCAGCTGGTGGCGTGTTAAGGACAAATTCACCAGCAGCAGCAGGATGCTCACGAGTTCTTTTCCCCTTGCAACCCTTCTCCCCCCCGTGTCCCTCTCTTCGGCTTCCCCCCCCACTCTCTCTCCCCCTCACACCCCCATGGGCAGCTGGTGGCGAGTGACGGACAGCTTCGCGAGCTACCAGCAGCAGGACGCGCACGAGAGCAAAACAAATCCCTTCCCCACCCCCTTCACTTTCCCCATGGGCAGCTGGTGGCGTGTCACGGACAGCTTCGCGCGCTACCAGCAGCAGGACGCACATGAGTTCTTCATCGCAACCCTCAACGCTCTCCCTGTTTCCCTCTCTTTGGCTTCCCCCTTCCCTTTCTCACTTCCCCATCTGCAGCTGGTGGCGTGTCACAGACAGCTTTGCAAGCTACCAGCAGCAGGACGCGCACGAGTTCTTCATCGCAACCCTCAACGCCCTCCATGCTGCCTCTGGCCTCGCCTCGCCCCGCCGCAAACCCGCCCCTCCTTCTGTTGCTGCTGGTGCTGCTGGTGCTTCTGCTGCGTGGTAAGTAGAATGAGTGCGGGTTTGACTCTAAGTTGGAAAAAACGCTTCTGTGATGTTGCGTTTTGCGTTTATACTCTTATCAAATTCGTACGCTGCGTATAATTTGTAAATTCGCCAAACAACATTTCGGGCAGACCGGGAAAAAAAAGTAAAAAAATCAATCTGGAGCTCGCGACGTGGCGATCTCAAATCCGAGTCGCAGATGTTGCGAAATGAACTCGAATTTTGAATTTCGGGCTCCAAACCTCATCAACCTCTCCCCTCCACCGTTTCACAACCCTTTTCACCCCAGCATTCCACAGTCCGCTACTGGTTGGGAGCCGAACCCCACTCAATCTCCCAGGCATAAGGAGATGCATTTGTTCTTTCGATATTCATTCTCTCGCTTACTATTCTAGCTACCTCACCCCCCAAGCCACCATGGCTGCTACTCCTACAGCAACATGTTCTCGTTCTGTTGTTGTAGTAGAATAGTTCTCTGTTTTTTTAGAAAGGGGATGGGGGTTACAGCACCCCCCCATCCCCACCTCTTACCCCAAAAAACTGCCCGGGAAAAACCTTTTTCCTGCCCGGGCAAGCGTATTCTTGTGCGTACCAGACCCCGCATGGCCTGCGTTTTGCGTATATACTCTGGCGTATATACAAAATCGTACAAAACGCAAAACGCGTTTTTTCCAACTTAGGTTTGACTGTTCTGCTGCTACGTGTTGCTCCCTTCCATCTCCTGCTTGCATGCTTTTAATGAACCACCCTGCCTTCTCATCTCCCTCCACCCCTTCTCCCGCCCGCCCGCTTCCCCACCCACCCTTTTGTTCTCCGCCCCTTCCCAGTGCGCCCTCAGTCACCGAGTGCCCCTGTATCGTGCACGAGGTGTTTTCTCATCTACCTCTCCCTCTTCTCCCTGCCTCCCCCTTCCCCCACCCTCCTCCCCCTCCTGTGCAGCCCGCCATCAGTCACCGAATGCCCCTGTATCGTGCACGAGGTGTTTTCTCATCTACCTCTCCCTCTTCTCCCTGCCTCCCCCTTCCCCCACCCTCCTCCCACCCCTGTGCAGCCCACCATCAGTCACCGAGTGCCCCTGTATCGTGCACGAGGTGTTTTCTCATCTACCTCTCCCTCTTCTCCCTGCCTCCCCCTTCCCCCACCCTCCTCCCCCCCCTGTGCAGCCCACCATCAGTCACCGAGTGCCCCTGTATCGTGCACGAGGTGTTTTCTCATCTACCTCTCCCTCTTCTCCCTGCCTCCCCCTTCCCCCACCCTCCTCCCCCTCCTGTGCAGCCCACCATCAGTCACCGAGTGCCCCTGTATCGTGCACGAGGTGTTTTCTCATCTACCTCTCCCTCTTCTCCCTGCCTCCCCCTTCCCCCACCCTCCTCCCCCCCCTGTGCAGCCCACCATCAGTCACCGAGTGCCCCTGTATCGTGCACGAGGTGTTTTCTCATCTACCTCTCCCTCTTCTCCCTGCCTCCCCCTTCCCCCACCCTCCTCCCCCCCCTGTGCAGCCCACCATCAGTCACCGAGTGCCCCTGTATCGTGCACGAGGTGTTTTCTCATCTACCTCTCCCTCTTCTCCCTGCCTCCCCCTCCTCCCCCCCCTGTGCAGCCCACCATCAGTCACCGAGTGCCCCTGTATCGTGCACGAGGTGTTTTCTCATCTACCTCTCCCTCTTCTCCTTGCCTCCCCCTTCCCCCACCCTCCTCCCCCTCCTGTGCAGCCCACCATCAGTCACCGAGTGCCCCTGTATCGTGCACGAGGTGTTTTCTCATCTACCTCTCCCTCTTCTCCCTGCCTCCCCCTTCCCCCACCCTCCTCCCCCCCCTGTGCAGCCCACCATCAGTCACCTAGTGCCCCTGTATCGTGCACGAGGTGTTTTCTCATCTACCTCTCCCTCTTCTCCCTGCCTCCCCCTTCCCCCACCCTCCTCCCCCCCCTGTGCAGCCCACCATCAGTCACCGAGTGCCCCTGTATCGTGCACGAGGTGTTTTCTCATCTACCTCTCCCTCTTCTCCCTGCCTCCCCCTTCCCCCACCCTCCTCCCCCTCCTGTGCAGCCCGCCATCAGTCACCGAATGCCCCTGTATCGTGCACGAGGTGTTTCCTCATCTACCTCTCCCTCTTCTCCCTGCCTCCCCCTTCCCCCCACCCTCCTCCCCCCCCTGTGCAGCCCGCCATCAGTCACCGAGTGCCCCTGTATCGTGCACGAGGTGTTTTCCGGGCTGTTGCGATCAGATGTGACCTGCACGGCCTGTGGGTGCACCTCCACCACATACGACCCGTGTGTGGATATCTCTCTTGATCTCAGCCCTCACCTGCTCGCAGCCGAGTTGCACGAGGAGCAGCAGCAGCGGCAGCAGCAGCAGCAGCAGCGCCGGGAGCTGATGCTGCTGCGGCGGCAGCAGCGGCTGGAACAGGGGGTGGGAGGGGGGGTGGGGGAGGGGAAGAAGAGGCGGAAGCGGCAGCATAAGCAGAGGTACCAGCGAAAGAGGAAACGGGGACGGACTAGGAATGTTACGGGTGATAAAGGTGCTGCTGTTGATGCTGCTGATGGTGGTGCTGCTGCTGCTGATGATGATGATGATGATGCAACTGCTGCTGCTACTGCTGCAGACGGAGTGACAGAGGTACCCCCATCGCCATCACCACCATCATCGTTACCACCAGCATCGCCATCAGCACCGGTGCTGTCACCATCCCCCCCGATTGCCCTGTCCTCATCCACCCCAACACCAACCATAACACCAACGGTAACCCCCACACCCACACCCACCTCAACGCCAACCCTCACTCCGTCCCCAACTGAAGCCGGCACCCCTGTCGGGTTCTTTGATGCTGATGCTGATGCTGATGCTGATGGTGCTGCTGATGGTGCTGCTGATGGTGATGCTGATGGTGCTGCTGATGGTGATGCTGATGGTGCTGCTGGTGATGTCAGCGGTGGTGCTGCTGCTGCTGCTGCTGCAGTGGGAGAGGGAGGGCTGGGAGGCAGTGGCAGTGCGGAGGGGAGTGGCAACGGTGGCAGCAGAAGCAGCAGCAACAGCAGCAGCAGGGAGGGGGGAGGACTAGCCGATCTGGAAGGGGAAGAGGCGGAGGAGGTGAGAATCACAGGGGGTGACGGAGAGCAAGGGGAGGAAGGGGAGGAAGGAGAGGAAGGAGGGGAAGGAAGGGAAGGAGAGGATGGAGAGGAAGGAGATGCAAGAGAGGTGTTGTTGGGAGAGGTGGTGGGGGATGGAGTGACCCTGGGGGACGAGAAGGAGAGAGAAGTGAGTGAAGCAGCAGTGGCTGAAGCAACTGCAGGGGTAGACGCTGAAGCATTCGTAGCACCACAGCCTGATGTGGGAGCAGCCATGCGTGGGCAAGAAGGGGGTGGGATGCACTGCTGTGCCCTCCTGCATGACCCTGCTGCAGCTGAGGTTGCTGGGTTTGACGGCAGAGCAGCAGAGGCTGTGGGAGCAGAGGGTACAGCAGCAGCAGTGGGTGCGGCAATGGAGGGAGTTTTGCCAGGAACAGCAGAACGGCGGGCAGAAGGGGAAGGAGCGGCTGCCGCGACTGCTGCTGCTGCTGCATCAGCACCTGGGGCACGGAAAGCATCAGCCACTGCTGCGCTACCACCATTAGCACCTCCAGCAGCAGCAGCAGGAAGAGCAGCAACAGGAGCAGGAGCAGCGGGAGCAGCAGCAGCAGGGGGAGCAGCAAAGGAGGAGGGAGCAGTGGCGACGTTGATAGCATGTTTGGATCGGTTCACACACCCGGAGACGCTTGGAGTCAATGAGAAGTTCTTCTGTGAGGCGTGTCAGGTGAGTGAGTGAGAGCACGCAGGCGCGGCATGAAGCCATTCTCTCACATAGCGTATGTTTTTTTAGAATTCTCAAAAAACATCACATAGCCCCGATCCTCTCTCACCCTACTCACTCCCGGCCCCATCCTTTCCACATTCCCCACCGGATACGGCAGGGATCAGTGAAGCAGATGTCCCTCGCCTTGTCGGTCCCTCGCCTTGTCGGTCCCTCGCCTTGTCTGTCCCTCGCCTTGTCTGCCCCTCGCCTTGTCGGTCCCTCGCCTTGTCTGCCCCTCGCCTTGTCTGCCCCTCGCCTTGTCTGCCCCTCGCCTTGTCTGTCCCTCGCCTTGTCTGCCCCTCGCCTTGTCTGCCCCTCGCCTTGTCTGCCCCTCGCCTTGTCTGCCCCTCGCCTTGTCTGCCCCTCGCCTGCCTGCCCCTCTCGCCTGCTCCTCGCCCTTCACCCGTTTCTTACTCGCCTCCCGTTCTTTCCCCTCTCCTCCCCCCGATTACCAGATATGGCAGGAGTCAGTGAAGCAGATGTCTCTGGCGCGCCTGCCCCTCGTGCTGTGCCTGCACATCAAGCCACTCTTCTACACTGCACAAATTCCCAATCCTCCTACTTACCCCCCCTTGCTCGCCCTCCCCCCGTTTCCCCCTCCCTCCCCCTTTTCTCCATCCCTCCCATCCCAACCAGATACGGCAGGAGTCAGTGAAGCAGATGTCTCTCGCGCGCCTGCCCCTCGTGCTGTGCCTGCACATCAAGCGCTTTGAGCACTCGCTCTCGCGCAACGCCTCGCGCAAGATCACGCGCTTCCTGCACTTCCCCCTCGCGCTCGACATGTCCCCCTACCTCTCCTCCAGCATCACCCGCAACCGTAACCGTGACCGCAACCGTAACCGCGACCGCGACCGCGACCGCACCGTCTCCCTGCACCCTACGCCCTCCCCTCCCCCCATTTCCCCTGCTGTCTCCTCTCCTCTGGTCCTCTCCCCCCCGGTAACTTCTCCGCTTGTCTCTCCTCTGCTCGCCTCTCCTCCTGTTGCCTCTCCTCCTTTCGCCTCTCCTCCTCCACCACCATTGCCACCAGCACCCCCTCCCAATGCTTCGTGCAAGCTGGCCAGTCCCTCTGAATTCACTTCTGAACCTGCTCCCGAACCTGCTTCCGCACCTGTTTCCGGGCCTGTTCCCGATCCTGCTTCCGAAGCTGTTGTCAAACCTGCTCCCGGGGACTTGGAGAAAGGCGGTAGCAACAGCAGCACAAGCAACAGCAGGGAGGAGGCGCCTGGTGAGGCAGACACAAATGCTGCTGCACACGCTGGTGTTGCTGCTGCTGCTGCTGCTGATGATGAGGATGATGATGCTGAAGAAGATGATTCTGATGATCACCCAAAGATGGCAACACCCCCAACTCATGGTGTTTCCGCACCTCGCGGAAACAAGAATGGAGTTCCATGTGTGAAGGATAGTTGTTCGGTTGGTGGTAGTGGTGATGAGTCGCATGTTGATGCTACCGCTACCACTGGTGCTGACATGCCTACAGCTCCCACTCTTGCTTCTGCTGCTGCTGCCGCTGCCGCTGCCGCCGTTGCCGCCGCCCCTGGTGTTTCTCCTGCTGCTGCAGCCGCCATTGCTGCTGCTGCAGCAGCGGTTGCCGGTGCACATGGGGCGGAAAAGGGATCCGATGAAGGGGAGGAGGGAGGGCTGCAGGATAAGCATGACGACGCACAGTACGATGCGTTTGCTGTGATTGCACATTCTGGAAGGAAGCTGGACAGTGGGCATTATGTGGCGTATCTGAGGCTTGGAGGCGGCTGGTTTCGGTGCGATGATTCGTGGGTCACTGCAGCCGATGAGAAGGATATACTTCATTCGGAGGCCTACATGCTTTTCTATTTGAAGAGAAAGGCTTCTTGATTGGATACGGCACTATTGATCATGAGAGGTATCGTCGGTGCATTTTCGTGTTTTAGGTTGAAGTTGATGGGTTTTGTTTGGTTAGTTGTATTCGAGAGGGGATTGTGTGTTGTTTGATGATTCAAATATAATGTGCATTGTAATCGTAAAAAGATAGTGAAATATGATGAGATTTGAAGCTGCATCTAATGTGCATTGTAATGTGCATTGTTTGGACCTTGATATATCACTAGATTTTGAACCAACCATTGTACTGACTGCTGAGGTACACTGAAATAACAGATTGTATTCATGCCCTTTCATAACGAAGTCCGCCGCACTTCTTCCGTGGGTGTGGTTCAGTAGCCCATAGCTGGCAAGCCTCCCACCTATCGCAGCACCACAACAACCGCCAACACAGCCGCTACTGCTGCTGCTTCTGATGTTTCTCCTGGTGCTGCTGCTGCGGCTGCCGTATTCGTAGATGTTGCAGCGATCGTATCAACGATTATGTTCAAGAATGCCGCGAAGAAGGCGGCGAAGCATCGTTGGCGTCGGCCTTTTCACACGGCACCGTCGCTCGCGCCCGCTCCATCGGCGCGTTTCTCGCTCGCAGTCCGCGTCGCGCTCCTCCTCGCGCTGCTGCTCTCTTTATACTTCGTCAACAGAGAGACTCTATTTATCGACCTGATTTTCCTTCCCCGAACGCGATTCGCTCCCGTGATCCCGCACCCGAACGCGACTCACGCGATCCTGACCGTCGCGCTCGGCCTATCCTCAATACGGCCCTTTTCGTTCGCAAACAAGCAGTCGTACTGTAACCGGCACGGGATCGAGTGCATCTTCGTTACATCTCCGGCCAGTAACCGTACGCCCGTGTGGCAGAAGGTGGAGCTACTAGCGCGATACCTGCCGCGGTACGACTGGATATGGCTGCTCGATCTAGACGCCTTCATTATGAACAAGACCGTCAGCATTGCCGACATAGTCGCTAAAGCGCAGCGTTCCGCGGAACTGAGCGCGCAACGGGAGCGGAAACTTAGTGCGGAGACCGGGCGGAAGCTTCGAGCGCAGGAGGACCCCAGCAATGGGGGGAGAGCCGCGGGGGGAGGCGGCGCGCGCAATGCCGGTTCCGCCATAGCGGAAAGCGCAGCAGCTAATAACACCTTTCCCGCCAACACTCATTCCGCTAACACCGCAGCCGCAACCGCAGCTGCTGACGCCTCCCCCCAAGTCGACTTTATTTATGCACGCGATTACGAGGACATGGGGCTGAACGCCGGATCGCTCTTCTTCCGCAGCGCGCCGCGGTTCCTAGAAACCGATTTCTTCGCCCATTGGCTGTCCCTCTCGCGGTCGTTCCACAAACGGCAGCTGGAGGAGCAAGGCGCGCTCGCGGACATGCTGCAACGTGACTATAACGGGGTGCGGAGCGCCTCGGTGCGCCTAGAGATGCAGGAGATTAACTCGTACTGTCCGGAGCATGGGATTGCGGGGTTTAGGTGGCGGCCAGGGGATTTGATCGTGCATTTTCCAGGGCAGTGCAAGAAACGCCTAGTTCCATTCGTGAGGCGCTATGTCAAGGAAATCCTAAGTTGAAATCACGCTACTAATGAGACACCTACCGTACCTCACTCCTGGTGTCTGAAAGTACACCATGGGATTATGTCTACCACCATGACATCTACCATGACATCTACCATGACATCTACCATGACATCTACCATGACATCTACCATGACATCTACCATGACAGACATCTACCATGACATCTACCATGACATCTACCATGACAGACATCTACCATGACATCTACCATGACATCTACCATGACAGACATCTACCATGACATCCACCATGACATCTACCATGACATCTACCATGACATCTACCATGACAGACATCTACCATGACATCTACCATGACATCTACCATGACATCTACCATGACATCTACCATGACAGACATCTACCATGACATCTACCATGACATCTACCATGACATCTACCATGACATCTACCATGACAGACATCTACCATGACATCTACCATGACAGACATCTACCATGACATCTACCATGACATCTACCATGACAGACATCTACCATGACATCTACCATGACAGACATCTACCATGACATCTACCATGACAGACATCTACCATGACAGACATCTACCATGACATCTACCATGACAGACATCTACCATGACATCTACCATGACATCTACCATGACAGACATCTACCATGACATCTACCATGACATCTACCATGACAGACATCTACCATGACATCTACCATGACAGACATCTACCATGACAGACATCTACCATGACATCTACCATGACATCTACCATGACAGACATCTACCATGACATCTACCATGACATCTACCATGACAGACATCTACCATGACATCTACCATGACATCTACCATGACAGACATCTACCATGACATCTACCATGACAGACATCTACCATGACATCTTCCATGACAGACATCTACCATGACATCTTCCATGACAGACATCTACCATGACATCTACCATGACAGACATCTACCATGACATCTACCATGACATCTACCATGACATCTTCCATGACAGACATCTACCATGACATCTTCCATGACAGACATCTACCATGACATCTACCATGACATCTACCATGACAGACATCTACCATGACATCTACCATGACATCTACCATGACATCTACCATGACAGACATCTACCATGACATCTACCATGACATCTACCATGACAGACATCTACCATGACATCTACCATGACATCTACCATGACATCTACCATGACAGACATCTACCATGACATCTACCATGACATCTACCATGACAGACATCTACCATGACATCTACCATGACATCTACCATGACATCTACCATGACAGACATCTACCATGACATCTACCATGACATCTTCCATGACAGACATCTACCATGACATCTTCCATGACAGACATCTACCATGACATCTACCATGACATCTACCATGACAGACATCTACCATGACATCTACCATGACATCTACCATGACATCTACCATGACATCTACCATGACAGACATCTACCATGACATCTACCATGACATCTACCATGACATCTACCATGACAGACATCTACCATGACATCTACCATGACAGACATCTACCATGACATCTACCATGACATCTACCATGACAGACATCTACCATGACATCTACCATGACATCTACCATGACAGACATCTACCATGACATCTACCATGACATCTACCATGACATCTACCATGACAGACATCTACCATGACATCTACCATGACATCTACCATGACATCTACCATGACAGACATCTACCATGACATCTACCATGACATCTACCATGACAGACATCTACCATGACATCTACCATGACAGACATCTACCATGACATCTACCATGACAGACATCTACCATGACATCTACCATGACAGACATCTACCATGACATCTACCATGACATCTACCATGACAGACATCTACCATGACATCTACCATGACATCTACCATGACAGACATCTACCATGACATCTACCATGACATCTACCATGACAGACATCTACCATGACATCTACCATGACAGACATCTACCATGACATCTACCATGACATCTACCATGACATCTACCATGACAGACATCTACCATGACATCTACCATGACATCTACCATGACATCTACCATGACAGACATCTACCATGACATCTACCATGACATCTACCATGACAGACATCTACCATGACATCTACCATGACAGACATCTACCATGACATCTACCATGACAGACATCTACCATGACATCTACCATGACATCTACCATGACAGACATCTACCATGACATCTACCATGACATCTACCATGACAGACATCTACCATGACATCTACCATGACATCTACCATGACAGACATCTACCATGACATCTACCATGACAGACATCTACCATGACATCTACCATGACATCTACCATGACAGACATCTACCATGACATCTACCATGACATCTACCATGACATCTTCCATGACAGACATCTACCATGACATCTTCCATGACAGACATCTACCATGACATCTACCATGACATCTACCATGACAGACATCTACCATGACATCTACCATGACATCTACCATGACATCTACCATGACATCTACCATGACATCTTCCATGACAGACATCTACCATGACATCTTCCATGACAGACATCTACCATGACATCTACCATGACAGACATCTACCATGACATCTACCATGACATCTACCATGACATCTACCATGACATCTACCATGACATCTACCATGACATCTACCATGACATCTACCATGACAGACATCTACCATGACATCTACCATGACATCTACCATGACATCTACCATGACATCTACCATGACAGACATCTACCATGACATCTACCATGACATCTACCATGACATCTACCATGACATCTACCATGACAGACATCTACCATGACATCTACCATGACAGACATCTACCATGACATCTACCATGACATCTACCATGACAGACATCTACCATGACATCTACCATGACATCTACCATGACAGACATCTACCATGACATCTACCATGACATCTACCATGACAGACATCTACCATGACATCTACCATGACATCTACCATGACATCTACCATGACAGACATCTACCATGACATCTACCATGACATCTACCATGACAGACATCTACCATGACATCTACCGTGACAGACATCTACCATGACATCTACCATGACATCTACCATGACAGACATCTACCATGACATCTACCATGACATCTACCATGACAGACATCTACCATGACATCTACCATGACATCTACCATGACATCTACCATGACATCTACCATGACAGACATCTACCATGACATCTACCATGACAGACATCTACCATGACATCTACCATGACATCTACCATGACAGACATCTACCATGACATCTACCATGACATCTACCATGACAGACATCTACCATGACATCTACCATGACATCTACCATGACAGACATCTACCATGACATCTACCATGACATCTACCATGACAGACATCTACCATGACATCTACCATGACAGACATCTACCATGACATCTACCATGACATCTACCATGACAGACATCTACCATGACATCTACCATGACATCTACCATGACATCTACCATGACATCTACCATGACAGACATCTACCATGACATCTACCATGACATCTACCATGACATCTACCATGACATCTACCATGACAGACATCTACCATGACATCTACCATGACAGACATCTACCATGACATCTACCATGACATCTACCATGACAGACATCTACCATGACATCTACCATGACATCTACCATGACAGACATCTACCATGACATCTACCATGACATCTACCATGACATCTACCATGACAGACATCTACCATGACATCTACCATGACATCTACCATGACAGACATCTACCATGACATCTACCGTGACAGACATCTACCATGACATCTACCATGAAGACATCTACCATGACATCTACCATGACATCTACCATGACAGACATCTACCATGACATCTACCATGACATCTACCATGACAGACATCTACCATGACATCTACCATGACAGACATCTACCATGACATCTACCATGACATCTACCATGACAGACATCTACCATGACATCTACCATGACAGACATCTACCATGACATCTACCATGACATCTACCATGACATCTTCCATGACAGACATCTACCATGACATCTTCCATGACAGACATCTACCATGACATCTACCATGACATCTACCATGACAGACATCTACCATGACATCTACCATGACATCTACCATGACATCTACCATGACATCTACCATGACATCTTCCATGACAGACATCTACCATGACATCTTCCATGACAGACATCTACCATGACATCTACCATGACAGACATCTACCATGACATCTACCATGACATCTACCATGACATCTACCATGACATCTACCATGACATCTACCATGACATCTACCATGACAGACATCTACCATGACATCTACCATGACATCTACCATGACAGACATCTACCATGACATCTACCATGACAGACATCTACCATGACATCTACCATGACATCTACCATGACAGACATCTACCATGACATCTACCATGACATCTACCATGACAGACATCTACCATGACATCTACCATGACATCTACCATGACAGACATCTACCATGACATCTACCATGACAGACATCTACCATGACATCTACCATGACAGACATCTACCATGACATCTACCATGACAGACATCTACCATGACATCTACCATGACATCTACCATGACAGACATCTACCATGACATCTACCATGACATCTACCATGACAGACATCTACCATGACATCTACCATGACAGACATCTACCATGACATCTACCATGACATCTACCATGACAGACATCTACCATGACATCTACCATGACATCTTCCATGACAGACATCTACCATGACATCTTCCATGACAGACATCTACCATGACATCTACCATGACATCTACCATGACAGACATCTACCATGACATCTACCATGACATCTACCATGACAGACATCTACCATGACATCTACCATGACATCTACCATGACAGACATCTACCATGACATCTACCATGACATCTACCATGACAGACATCTACCATGACATCTACCATGACAGACATCTACCATGACAGACATCTACCATGACATCTACCATGACAGACATCTACCATGACATCTACCATGACATCTACCATGACAGACATCTACCATGACATCTACCATGACATCTACCATGACAGACATCTACCATGACATCTACCATGACAGACATCTACCATGACATCTACCATGACATCTACCATGACAGACATCTACCATGACATCTACCATGACATCTTCCATGACAGACATCTACCATGACATCTTCCATGACAGACATCTACCATGACATCTACCATGACATCTACCATGACATCTACCATGACAGACATCTACCATGACATCTACCATGACATCTACCATGACATCTACCATGACATCTACCATGACAGACATCTACCATGACATCTACCATGACAGACATCTACCATGACATCTACCATGACATCTACCATGACAGACATCTACCATGACATCTACCATGACATCTACCATGACAGACATCTACCATGACATCTACCATGACATCTACCATGACATCTTCCATGACAGACATCTACCATGACATCTACCATGACATCTACCATGACATCTACCATGCCATCTTCCATGACATCTTCCATGACAGACATCTACCATGACATCTACCATGACATCTACCATGACAGACATCTACCATGACATCTACCATGACATCTACCATGACATCTACCATGACATCTACCATGACATCTTCCATGACATCTTCCATGACAGACATCTACCATGACATCTACCATGACATCTACCATGACAGACATCTACCATGACATCTACCATGACATCTACCATGACATCTACCATGACATCTACCATGACATCTTCCATGACATCTTCCATGACAGACATCTACCATGACATCTACCATGACATCTACCATGACATCTACCATGACATCTTCCATGACATCTTCCATGACAGACATCTACCATGACATCTACCATGACATCTACCATGACAGACATCTACCATGACATCTACCATGACATCTACCATGACATCTACCATGACATCTACCATGACATCTACCATGACATCTACCATGACATCTACCATGACATCTACCATGACATGCTTCCACTGCTAACCACCATCCCTCAGCAATCCCTCATTCCCGTGTCCAAGGCTTACCTACGGTATGCAATTTCACAAGCAAGCGGCCAAGATCATTCATGCATGTATTGTAACATCCACATTTCATTTACACTCACTTGAATCTTATCTATTCCACATTTAGTCTGTAAGAGCGTGTTCCTACACCTCGTATCAGAAACACCTCGTATCAGCTTCGCGTGGTGAAATACGTTTCAGTGCGCTCGACTGCGGTTGGATGCTTTTAGTGCGGTTGGACGCGAATCTGATACGAGGTTGCCTGATATGAGGCCGTCCGTAGGAACACGCTCCAAGTGATGAAATACATTCTGTGCCAGCAGACAATTCTGCTACCAGAAAGCTGGAGGTGGTTGACACCATGATATGATACAATTGTAGCTTGAAAATGTAAATACGGTGTACATCAATCTACTGCCCAAGTCTCAAACCGCAACTATCCAGAAAATCAGATTCCTACTCTATCAAGCTCCGCCTACATAAGTCATCTATATAGCATGGAGCTGTATCCTCCCGGCCCGTGCCATGATCGGCTCGGGCAGATCCTCCAATTCGTTGCATCCATCCACATGAAGCTCCCGCAAACTCCTCGCACTCTCCAACCCCTCGGGCAGCTCGCTCAGATTCTCGCACTCCTGCACGTCCAGCACCTGCAGCAACGGCAGCTGGGCCACGGCAGCGGGCAGCTTGAGCAGCAACGGCAGGTCATTGACCGTGAGAGATACAAGAGAAGAGAGGTTGCTGAAGCCTTCTTCTGGTAAAGAGGAGACCTGCTCGCACGTGCTCGGGAGGTCAGTGAAAGCAGTTCTTGGCGTATCTCCGTCGTCGTTGTGGCTGTTGGAAAGAACCGGGTCAAACACGCAGGTTGCTAGACCGAGCTCCTGATCTTCCCTTTTAGTCACCAGACCCTTCCATCCGAGAATTAGGCTTTCGAGGCCGGGCAGTTGCGAAAGCGATTCAGGGAATGTTTCCAGCAGTGCGCAGCCAGCTATTTCCACTGTGCGGAGCGCCGTGAGCTGCCCGATAGTTTCGGGCAGGGCTTCCAAATTGTAGCAACCGTGGATGGTAAGGTTTTCAAGCTGAGTGAGAGTGACCGGCAGAGGGCGCCGAAACGGAGAACGAGCGATAGTGAGTCGCCGCAGCTTCAGCACCTGCCCGAACGATTCGGACAAATCGCAGGTTACTTTATTCAGATGCAGCTCAGTCAGCGCCGACAGCTGCCCGATATCTTCGGGCAGCGATCTCAAAGGACACTTGAGGAGCTGCAGGCGAGAGAGGGAGTGCATCCCCGCGAAAGACGCCGGCAGGCGCGTTAGAACCCTACAGTTCGCCGCGTGAAGGTGCGTTAGGGAGGAAAGGAGAGCGAGAGAGTCCGGAATAGCCGTAAGAGAGTTAAGATAGTTGAGGACGAGAGAGGCGAGGCTAGGAACGTCACCGATATCCTCCGGTAACGAGGCGAGGGCAGCGCAGTTATAAACGGTGAGAGCAGTGAGGGAGGAGAGGGCGGAAATGGAGGGCGGGAGAGCGGCTAAGAGAGAGCAGGAAGTGATGTTGAGTACTTGCAGGGAGGGCAGCTCCCCGATGCCGTCAGGAAGCGATTGCAGGCGCGAGAGGTTGGTGATGAAAAGGCGTTTGAGTGAGGAAAGGTGGGCGAAGGAGTCTGGAAGAAAGTCGGCATTGAGCGCGAACAGGTGGAGGGTTTCGAGGGATGATAAGAGGCCGATGGAGTCGGGCAGGGAATCCATGGAAGATGAGCCCGCCAGCTCCAGGTATTGCAGCTTTTTTAGCTGCCCGAGACCGTCGGGCAGCTGCCGGAGGGAACTGCAGCCGACGATTTTCAGCGAGGTGAGGGAGCGGAGGCGGGAGAGGGTGTGCGGGAGGGCGCGCACGCAAGGCGCGCGGATGCTTAGAGAACGTAACGCGGAGAGCGAACCAACGCCCTCGGGGAACCGCGGCTGGGGTGTTGGCTCTAACGCCGTAGCGGCATCACCATCAGCGACCGCCCTGATATGCGGATCGAGGCGGCCGCATGAAACTTCCAGCCTCGTCAGCCGCTGCAGGAGACTCACGGACGCGGGCAGCTCGGGCAGGCACAGGGGCAGCGTGAGTTTCAGGCTGACCAGGCGGCGGCAGGCGGCGAAAAGCGCGGTAACGGCGGGCTCTGTTACTTTCGCGACGGCGTCGTCGGGGTCGATGGAGCCGCGGTTCCGCTCCCAGGAGCGCAGGTTCATGTGGCGATACAGCGACAGGTGCGTGAGGGAGCGCGCGCACCCCGTAGCGATGGAGTGAAGGAGATCGTCTGTTATGGCGTCTAGAGCCGATGGACCGATGTGCAGGTGCTGCAGGGTGAGCGGGGAATGAAGGGGAAAGGCGGGGGAAACGGCGGAGGCGGGTTCGGGAGTGGGAGGGGCGAGGGAGAGGGAGAGGGGTATGGGAGGGGAGGAGGGGGAAGGAGGAGGTGCGGAGGAGAGGACGGAGCGGAAGGTTTGGGTGGAAAGGCGGCGGTCGGCTTGCAGGAGGATGGCGGGAAGGCTGAAGCGCGCCAAGCGGAGCCAGCGCTTGCACACGAGCGCGTGGCGGAACACCGTGAACGGCGGAGGCGGAAGCGGGGGCGGAAGAGGCGCGGAGGTCGTGCGGGCTTCGGAAAGGGAGGGCGGAAAGGCGGAGGCGAGGATATGCGCAGCTGACGGCGTGTGGGGATCGTCGGGGTCGAGATGGAGTGTCATGGTTCGAGCGTAGTTGGCGGCGGTCGCTGCGGCCTCGAGAGCTATGGCTTCGGTGAGCTCAACAACGCGTACGAAACGCGCGCACGGTTTTTTCACAGCCCGCTCGATGCGCTCGAGCATTTCGTCCTCACCCTTTTCGCCAAGAGCATCGTAGTCCTCGCTGCTGACGGCACCGTTACTCCCGTCCCCAACCGCATTAGCCTCCACAGCGGCAGAATCGGCGAAAGCGGCGGCGGCGGAGGCGGTGGTGGCGGCGTCAGAAGTAGCAGCGGCGGTTGTGAGGCACGGCTTGGGGTGGAAACGGAATCCATTGGAGGCGACGAGAGCGAGAATGTGAGCGACGAGATCGTCAGAGAGGCGCGCGAAAGGATCGGGTTCGAGGCGGCGCGTCCGAGGCGGCGACGAACTGGTGTTGAACGAATCCATTTCAGACGCCACGCTCGACGAAGTTGCGCAGCAGCGGTAAAAGGAGCCGCACGTTGGGATTTACGTGAAAGCCGCCGAAGAAGAAAGGACTAGAGTGTGGCGCTGTGAGTGAAGGAGATTAACGAAGCAACAGTGGAAGAGCTAACAAGAGCACCTAGCCCAGCAATTGACCAAGGGTTGCTGCAGAGTAGAGATCGAAGAAATTACAAATTGCGTTGCGTGTTCTTCTAGAGATTTCTCGGCAGTGTAGCACACAGAAGATGAAGATGCATCACCGTGCAGATACCCATTCCACCGAACGAAAACACACTCAACACCAGACTCCACCCAAACCGCCCATTACAACCTAACCAGCAGGGGCTCGAGGCGCGATGACGATCACACCACATCGCAGCACCCAATCCAGCCGCGTCTCATCCGAATTTCTGGGAATGGCATCGCATGGGGTCGTTCGCACGCCGTCGTGATTTGCACCACGAAAGTCGTCTTCGCGAAACTCGTTTCCGAGGATGGGCGAAAAATGCAATTTTACAGACAAGCAGCCCAAGTATGGCGCATGTTACAACACATCCAATCTCCATCTTTTCCCTATGGTGCATCTACGGTAGATTGCTCCTTCCAGGCCAAAACTGCTAAGCTACCGGTAGATAATGTCAGAAGAACCATGCATGCTTCATGCCCCTTCGCCCACACAATAAGTGCTCCACTTTCCCTCACCACACAGACATGGAGCCGTAATTTTTGCCCTCTCGAGTTATATTCATTTGTACAAATAAGCCACAGCTAGAGCTGGCCCTGCTCCATCCTGAACTCCTCTAACTTGGTTGCTACCAAGCCCTTACATAGTCATCAGCAACCCCACGAGTCATGACACCTCAGAACCGTTTACAAAAACAACACAAGCGGCAGTTATGGTTATGCAGCAATGAGGTCACCTCACCAGTCAAGGCCAAGATCACGTGAAACAAATAGATCCTCCACCGCAGCAGCGACATCAGTGACACTTGTAACAAACTCGGATGATGGCTCACGCCATGACTCCTCTGTTAGTTGGGTTGGGATTGACATGAGCAGAGGCCAGGCAGGCATAGCAGATGGCACATAAACCCATCATATTTCTTTGTCCCTTTGAGAGAGCAGAGAGTGGAACCAGGGATTACAGCAGGCAATAGGAATCAGTCGGATGCAACATTTTTGCAATGCAGAAATCCACCAAGGCATTGGGCAACAGGGAAAGGGGCGAACAATACAGTGCAAGAGGAAGAAAGACGCCATCCCACCCCTGCTGCTATCAACTCCAACTTCTCCAAAGTGCCAGAAACGAGAGAGTCACCAGATTGAACGATAGCTATCGACTAACCACCATGGCCCACCAACCTCTGCAACCTCGTCCTCTCTCATTCTTTCCACAGTTTCGTCACATCCAACCATCCAACCCAACCGAACCCAACCCAACCCCCCTTCGCCCACAAGCCACCACCACACCCACACTCTCGCGCAGCCTTACCGAGGTGGTGCAGAAAATACTCGGTGGATGGAAGAGCATACATACCATACCAGCACCCATGTGGCCGCAGCACTCAGCACGCACTGGCTTTAATATCGGCCGAGCACTCACCGTCTTCCCCCAGGTGGTGCAGGAAGGAGTCGGTGGAGGGGAGCGCGTACATGCCATGCCAGCAGCCACAGCACGAGGCCGCAGCTGGCTTTCAGGTTGGCTCAAAACTCACCGCGTTACACCAGCGCTACATGCAACGGCACTCCACAAATCTCAGGGCCGGCTCAGCACTTGCCGTGCTGGCTTTGAGAAGGCCGGCTCAGCAGCACCCAGGGCTCGTTGATTGTAAGGTCGTATGAGCACTCACCGTCTTCCCCGAGGTGGTGCAGGAAGGAGTCGGTGGAGGGGAGCGTGTACATGCCATGCCAGCAGCGACGCCAAAAGGCGGCAGGTGGCTTCAAAGTGAGTTTAACATCTCACCGAGTTACACCAGTGCTGCTACATACACCGTACTCGCTTGAGAGATCCCAAGCCGGCTGAGCACTCACCATCCTCCCCCAGGTGGTGCAGGAAGTTGTCGGTGGAGGGGAGCGCGTACATGCCAGCAGCAACGAGGCTGCGGATGGCCCACGAGTGGTGAGCGCTGAACACCTCGCTGTATGCCCGACTCGCATGCTCCCTCAGTGGCTTCATGCTGCGCCGTGGAAGCAGCATGGGGTGTGGGAGAAGGTCAACGGAAGAGGGGGAGGATGGGGAACGGGAGGGGAGGGATGGGTTGAAAGGGGGTGGGGGAAGGGAGGAGTAGTAGGCGGAGGAGGAAAAGGAGGAGGGGGAGGAGCAGGTGTGGGGAAAGAAGAGGGAAAGGAAGGAAGTGAATGAAGTGGATTGGAGAAGATGGCTGATTAGCAGCAAAATTCTCCGGTCTGAAAGCATGAAGGATTGGCACCAGCAAATCCTATGTTTAGCATTCTGATGTATTTTCCAGAGTACGTGGCTCTTTGAGCAGAACCCACAACACACAAAGCCTTACACTTCACCCGAGAACATTGTGCGTGTATAACAGCCGCTGCCTGATGTGCATCCATATCAGCACAGGTCGCTAATGAATCTGAGTCAAATGTCACTTTGGCCCTCAATGTACACACACGCAGAGCACACGCGCACCCACACCCACACCCACAACCAAACCCACACCCACGCCCACACCCACGCGCACACCCACGCGCACACCCACACCCTCACCCACAACCACGCCCACACCCACGCGCACACCCTTACTCCGACTCACCAGTCGTCTAGAATGTAAGAAAAGAGGCGGCGAATCATGTCGAGCCCTTTTGAGGCGCCTCAAAAGGCCAGCCCCCCCCCTCCCCTCCCTCACCCCCCCCCTTCGCCCCACACACACTCCCACGCACCAGTCGTCAAGGATGTAGCAGAAGAGGCGGCGCATCATGTCGAGTCCGCGCAGCACGCGCAGCAGGTTGCGCGTGTGGCTGTTCTGCACCTTCACGGAGCCCTTGCTCACATCCGCGTCCACCATGCTGCCCAGCGTCGAGAACTCCTTGCCTGCTGCCGTCAGATCCTTCACCTGGGGGGGACGGAATGGAGAGCCAGGGAGAAGGGGTGCGGTGGAGAGGGATGGGGATGGGCTGCAGAGAGGAGGAGAGGAGCGGAGACGAAGGGGAAGGGTTGCGCTGTTCTGCACCTTCACAGAGCCCTTGCTAACATCCGCGTCCACCATGCCGCCCAGCGTCGATGTAAAAATCATCTTAAAACTTTCAGTAAGGAGAACTTTTTGCCTGCTGCTGTCAGATCCTTCACCTGGGGAGAGGGGGAGGAGGGATGCCGTGGAGAGAGATGGGGATGGTTAAAGAGAGAAGAGGAAGAGAGGTTGTGCCGTTCTGCACCTTCACGGAGCCCCTTCTCACGCCCGCATCCACCATGCCACAGGAGGGAATACGGCGGAGAGAGGTAAGGATCGGGTGGAGTTGGAGTTTCGAGCTGGAAAAACACACACACATGAATTTACAGCTGCGGCTCGTTTGGATCATCCATAGGATCTTCCCGTGGTGACGAGTCGGCTCGCACCTACCTTATCCGTAAAGTCCTTCCCAGCGAACGCGAACGCGATACCGAGGAGCGAGAAGAGCCGCGAGATGCCGTCGCACGCGTGCGCGAATTCCGCCACGCTCATCGCCTCCGCCTGCCCCGCGACCCTCGCCTTCCTCCCCCCGTCTCCCCCGGCGACAGAATCCGCACCAGCAGCACCAGCACCAGCAGCACCAGCACCAGCAGCATCAGCAGCAGCAGAATCAGGAGCACCGTCCGCAGCAGTATCAGCGGTAGTAGAGCTGTCTGCGTTGGCAGCGGCACCCATGGTACGTTGCAAGTCACCGAACCGTTTCGCCAGAACTCTCAGATTTCGGTGCTCCTCGCCTGGCGAAGCTGCCACCGGCGACGCTGCTGCGGTCGCGGCATTTCCCGCGTCTGCACTCGCCCCCTCGACCGCTGCGCCTTCTGAAGCCATGGGTTGAAAAGCAGCAGCGCGTCGATACGACTGAAAGAACGGCTGCGAGATCGGATACACAGCACTGTGTGCGTACACGTCGGAGCACCCGACGCTGGAATCGATGCGGGCCTGGTGATAGTTCAGATAAGGAGAATGATCTGCCGACAGCCCGCTTCTGACGTAACAATCTAACGTGCTCAGTGATCAATGATACGTGCTCGGTGCTTCCACACGTGGAGTAGAAACGCTTTTTCTCATCAGTCTAGGCGTTGAGGAGGAAAAGGAAAGAAACTCCTGAAAGCTAGCGCCAGAGCAGCAGCGATATGCAACAGCCCAGAACACGCAAGGACAACAACAGATCGAAGGATAGGAGGGAGTGTGACAACAACACCCCTGAATTCCAAGTCCCTTGATTATTTCCCCAGGGATCGTCAAGCGTGAATTTCTGAATTTGGGCCTGGTCCTCAGGATGACTACTTTGTGAGATCGAGAGAGTTGCGAACAGCCGACGGGTAACCAGCTAGTGTGTCAGACAGCAACTCGAGTCGAATTTCGCGCGTTCGTAATTCGTGCGGTGACTGTTGCTAGCTTTGCGAAGTGAGGTGCAGAGGTGTCGGGAATGGGTGAACGCGTTCGCCACCACCTTGGTGGTGCGACGACAACACGAAAGCGCCTTCGGCCTGGTTACCGGACCGTCTCGCCATAGTCGCCGGACTTCCGGGAATTCGGAAAAAAATGGCTGCTTACAATCTTTCCGCACAATTCGTCTGGAAAAGGACTCAGTACAAACATAACATTTACATAGTCAATTAACAACAAAAATGTGGAAACTAGCTTTGTGGGAAACAGGAAACCCATTTCCCACAAAATTCAAGTTCTCCATGGTTACAGTGCCCCCCTCAAAGAGCATCCATGGACATACCCTAGCTCACCCCGTCCCTGCTTTACAGCAGCAGGAAAGGGAACTCATTTTTAATGTCGGGAGAAAATTGAAGTGACAAACGAATCAAGCAACGCAGCTAAAAGAAGCGGTCGGGAGGAGATCCCCCACTGTGGCCGCCAGTAAGGAAGGAGGGGAGGCGATAGCTGGTGGATAAATCACCCAATGCGCTGCCACCACCACCAGATACATGCATAGCTGTTGCTGCTGCTGCAGTGGCAGCAGATGCGGAGGAGGGAAGGGAGCGGCGAGAGAGCATATCGGCCCCGTGGAAAGAGCTTTCTCGGCTGCTGCTGCTGCTGCCGGGACTGCCGTGATGCAGCATGTTGGTGCTGCTGCTGTTGCTGCCAGCGCCGGCACTGTGACCGCCGCTGCTGCTGCCGCCACCTGCACCGCCATTGCTGTTGCCACCTCGCTTTGCACGCACACTGATTCCCACAGGGAAGGGCTCCTGAAGAGGTGAAGTTCAGAGGAATTGAGGGAGAACAAACAGGAGCAAGAGAGCCAATGAAAAACTATCAGTGAGGGGAAAAGAAGCCGGCAAAGACAGCCAATCTCGGAGGGGAAAAGGCTGATATGACCTCCCATTGCTCATAATGCAAGCTCTTGCAGAACAACAGCACCAGAGGTGCAGGGACGGAGAGGAAAGGAGACATGTGGGAACTAAGAGGTTCCCTCCCAGCACCGCCACTCACCTGGTCGCCGGCGTTTGGCCCCTGGGACTGGAACAGGATGGGGCGGCAGCGCTTGTCCTCGTTCATGAGCGAGGAGTTTTGGAAGTGGGCGATGAGGGCCTGCTTGCCCTGGATGCGCGCATACGCAATGTTGGCCACCTTCTCACTGTTGAACTTCTCCCACCGCTTCCCATTGAAACTCTGTTGATACAGTAGCAGGGAGGTTAGGGATGGCAAGAGGGGACAGCGTTAAAAAGAGTCGTCGTTACACACGTCTTCTACGGCAGAGAGCGGATGGGCCCAGGCTATGTACGCAATGTTGGCCACCTTCTCACTGTTGAACTTCTCCCACCGCTTCCCGTTGAAGCTCTGCCTCGCATTGAGACAGTGAGGTCAGGGGATACAAGAGGGGAAGGTAGGGCAGGGACGATAGGTACCTATGAGACAGAAGAAAAAACCAGGGAGACGCGCTCTAAAGCGGATAACCCTGGTTAAACAGAGACAGGCTAGAGGAAATTATTGATGCAGACAACAAACCAGAGAGCATGGAACAGGGTGGTCAGAGACTCAGACGGTGCGGGAGAGGTGGGAGGGTTGGTGGTTGGGTGCGCGAGCTGCAGGGTGTGAGTAGCATCTACGATACGACTCAAGTGGCAAGGATCTAGTTGCACAGAAACTAGCAGCAGAAAACTAGAAACACAAGACAAGTGGCACAAGACTAGCAGCACAAAGATAGGTAGCAGCAGCAGCAGCAGCAGCAGCAGCAGGGAGAGCAGCAAGAGTTACCTGGTAGAGTGGAACGATCTTGAATGGGTCCATCATGTTGATGAAGGCGTACCCCACGTTGCACTTGTTCTGCTCGCAGCGAGAGGTGGACGGGTGGGGTGGGGTGGGGGAAGAGGCATGAGAGAAAGGTAAGAGAGAGATATGTACTAGACGAGATTGAGCGAAAGGAAAGGGGGGTGCTTAGAGTTGAAGCGACACAAGAGAAAGCAATCACGAAAGAAGAGGCATGGACGCCAAAATCTACAAATATGAAATGGCTGGAGCACGAGGCACAAGCAAGACAAGGGGAAAAGGCAGGAGAGGGGATGGGGGGATGGGTAGAGGAAGGGGGCGGGTGGTGGGGGGAAAGGGTGCGGACGAGAAGAGGAAATGAAGTGGAGGACACGGGAGGAAAGCGAGAAGGGCAGGCGCAGACCTTGAAGTCAATAGGGAGATAGAAGAAGTCGTAGGTGCCCTTGTGCTTCTCATCAATGGCTGCCAGCAGCATCTTCTGTGTGTACCTGCAGATGCATATACACACACGCATGCACACAAGCATGCACACACCACAGACACACACATGACATGACATCCGTCCCACATCCATGCACACACAACCATACAAGCACATTCAAACATGCGCAAGGCCATTCACCAAGAGAATGAGACCACACACGGACATACATGGGAACGAATGAGACCAACCAAGAGGGTGGGGAACAACGGGTAATGGCTGCCAGGCTGTCAGCACCTTACACATGGCACGGCACCCACCAGGCCAGGGAAACACCCTGCTCTTCACATGCACGCAGCACACCCCTCACAAGGTCACCCCTCCCTCACATCCATACCAACCACCCACATGTCTCGCAACCCCTTCCCAATCACAGCAAAGCCTCCCCCCGTCCCCTTGGCCACTCTCCATTCACCCCCAGCTTTTGAGGCTCCTCACAAGTCCTCCCGTCCCCTTCCACCAATCTCTCCACTCAACAGAAAAAAAGCCCTACAACGGTACGGGGCTCACTCACTTGTTGGGAATGTTCTTGATCATGAGCGTGGTGCGCGAGTCCTCCCCTCGCAGTATCCGATCCACCTCCAGCAAATACTGCCTCTTCGCATCCCCACCGCCGCCCCCACCCCCGCCGCCTCCCCCACCCTCCGACCTCCTCCCTCGACTCCTCTCCCCATACCCTTCCATCCCTGCCCCTCCTCCTCCCCCCCCGCCACCACCACCACCCGTTCCTCCCCCTCCCGGCCCTCCTGCAACCCTCCCAGCGTTCTCCCCACCTCCCAGCCCTGACAAGGACCGTCCACTGGCGCTGGTCTTCAGGTGAGGCGACAGCAGACTGGGAGAAGGAGGAGTGCCCTCCATACCACTCTCCAGCCCCAGCATAAGAGCCGCTGCCACTGCGCCTGCTCCCCCACGGGTTCTATCCATGCTTCCCATGCTTCCCATGCTGCCCATGCTGCCAACTGGCTCGCGCAGGCTCATGCTGCTAGCCGAAACACCTGAGGATAAACCTGGTGGGGTTATTCCTCCCACCCCGTATTGCGACCCAAACCCTCTCCCGAGCCCAGATCCCAGGCTCGACGCCAAGCTGGAGACCAGGCTCGGCACACCCAGACCTAACCCAGCGCCGTTGAAATCAGCTGCCGCAGAGCCAGCAGCCGCAGCTGCTGCAGCAGGGTTGAAATCAACAGCAGGGGACGCTGCTCTGGGCGCTCCTGCTCCTGCTGCTGCTGCTGCTGGTGGAAAATGGAGGCCAAAGGTGGTGTCAACACCGTGATGCATCGCAGCAGCGGCGGAAAGAGAGCTAGACAGCGCACCAGCAAAGGAGCCCGCCGAGAACGAGCCAGAAAGAGAACCGAAATGATCCATCCCATGCACCACACGACCACTACCAGCCACCGCCGCTCCCACTGCTGCTCCTCCTGCTCCCACCCCCGCTCCTCCTGCTGCTGCTCCCGCCATCACACCCAACCGCCCGCCCCCCATGCCCGTTCCACTCCCTCCGACAGAACTCCCCAGCAGCCCGTTTCCTAGCAGAGGGTTGTCGTAGGAGAAAGAGTCGGGTGAGCCTGAGAGGAGGCTGTAGGAGCGACCGGGGAGGAGAGGGTCTGATGTGGCGAAGTGAAGGTGCGAGTCCGAGTTGTGATGGGGTGAGCGCATGTGGATGGGGTGGTGGTGCTGCTGGTGGGGGTGGTGAATGGAATGCTGCTGCGCATGTGCATGCACCTGCTGCTGCTGCTGGCGGTGCTGCAACGGCTGCTGAAACAACTGCTGTTGCTGCTGCTGCTGCTGGCGGTGGTCAAACAGCTGCTGTTGCTGCTGCTGGTGTAGTTGTTGCTGCTGCTGCTGCTGCTGCTGCTGCTGCTGCTGCTGCTGCTGCTGCTGCTGCTGCTGCTGCTGCTGCTGCTGCTGCTGCTGCTGCTGCTGCTGCTGCTGCTGCTGCTGCTGCTGCTGCTGCTGCTGCTGCTGCTGCTGTTGCTGCTGCTGCTGCGCTTGAGCCTGCGCGTACAACTGCATCTTCATTGCAAAAGGGTCTGCAGCACGGTGGGCAGGGGCCGAAAACCCATGAGAACCGCCACCACCAGCAGCAGCATCACCACCACTAGCACCACCAGCACCACCAGCAGCGCCACCAACAGCACCAGTGGTAGCAGAGGAAGCAGAAGCCACGGTTGGTGAGGAGTGACCGAGCGCTCCAAACGAGTGAGCTCGGCCCATCTTTGCACCAAGCCCACCCATTTCCGAACCCATACCCATGCTTCCACTGCCACCTGTTAACGCGTCCGCCCCACCTGCCCCTAGCCCTGGCAGCCCTAGCTGCTGCTGCTGCTGGAATGAAAGCTGGTTGAGCAGCTGCGATTGCAGCGTGGGATTTGCAGCTCCTGCTGAAGCTTGCAAGCTCAGGGATTGTGCTAAGGTCAGGAGCGACACAGGCAACCGCTGCTGCTGCTGCTGCTGGTGCTGCTGCTGCTGCTGCTGCTGTTGCTGCTGTTGCTGCTGCTGCTGCTGCTGTTGCTGTTGCTGTTGCTGCTGCTGATGAAGCTGCTGCTGCTGGTAGTGGTGCAATTGTATCTGCTGCTCGTGAAGGGCTGGGCGTAGGGCTGGCGGCAGGGAGGGGTGAAGAGACGAGGGACCCCCTCCCCACAAGGCATTCTCTGGGAGAGATGAGGAGAGGTGCGCGTGGGAGGTGAGAGCACGTAGCTGCTCCTCCAGCTGCTGCTGCTGCTGATGATGGCGCTGCCGCTGCTCCTGCAACTCCTGCTGCTGCTGCAACTGCAGCAGCTGCTGCAGCTGCTGCCGGTGCTGAATGTGGTGCTCCATACCCCGTGCTGATACTCCTCCCTGCTGCTGCTGCTGCTGCTGCTGCTGCTGCTGCTGCTGCTGCTGCTGCTGCTGCTGCTGCTGCTGCTCCCCATGCTCCAAAATACTGCTGACAAGCAGAGACTCACTGTTCGCCCAGCTACCACCGCCACCACTCACACGCACAGCACGGGCAACGGCACCAAGGGACGTCTCGGAACTCGCCCTGGGCATCCACGCAGGGCCAGCACCAGGGTTCACCGCTTGATACGGGGACGGAACAGCGCTTGCAGCTGCGCTGGCAGCAGCGACGGCGGCGGCAGTGGAAGCAGCAGCAGCAGCAGCCGCAGCAGCTGCAGGTGGGTTCGTTGCGTAAAGGCCCGAGTGGGTGTTGGTGTTTGGGGCAGACGCGAGGAAGGGAGAGGGAGAGGAGGAGAAGGAAGAAGATGAGAAGGCTGTGGCGGCAGCATTGAGACCGTAGTCTGGCAGGGAGTTGGAATGGTGCAGCAGACGCTGCTGCTGCTGCTGATGCCACAATTGCGCCGACTGCTGCTGCTGCTGCAGCTGTTCTTGCTGCTGCTGCTGCTGCTGCTGCTGCTGCTGCTGCTGTTGCTGCATCTGAACCAGCACTTGCTCATCTCGCTGCACTGTTCCCTGCGGTTTCTCACCTCCCTGTCCTTCCCCTCCTTCAACCTCACTCCCCTTTCCATCGCCCCTACCACCTCTTCCGCTCCTATCAGCCCCATGCCCGTATAAAAGCTCCACACCTGCTCTCACGCCTGCACCTGACTCCCCGTCCGCAGCACGCGGGGGGGAGGACGCGGGAGGGGCGCCCGGGGGGAGAATGCGCCCCCCGCGCCCCACCTCCACTGTGGTGGCGGCTGCGGCGGCGGCGGCCGCCTCATGGGGGGAGGACGGGGGGAGATGCGGAGCTTGGTGCGCGCTTCCCCCCTGGGAGCGCCAGAGGCGGTCGGAGGACGGGAGAGAGACGGAGATGGGGCCAGCTGCGTCTAGGAGAGCGCTCAGCGGGAGCATAGGGGGGAGCGGAGGCTCCTCCTGCTGCTGCTGCTGCTGCTCGTTTTGCTGCTGCTGCTGCTGTTGCTGGTGTTGGTGTTGCTGCTGGAAAAAGGACTGAGATCGCTGCTGTTGCTGTTGCTGTTGCTGCTGTTGTTGCTGTTGCTGTTGCTGGTTGCGCTGCTGCTGCTGCTGCTGCTGCTGCTGTGCTTGCAGCTGCTGCTCCTCGTGCAGCCATTGCTGTGCGTGGGATTGCTGCTGCACTGAGCGGTTTTGAGACAAGGACTCGGATGCCTGTGACAAGCCAAGGTGCACACGCACGGACAGACACAAGCAAAAACACTAAGGGTACGTTCTGGGCCCTGGTCAAACTTCTGGTCATCCAAACCCAACTTCTGGTCAGCGATCAAGTGTGTGCTGAGTGGGGATGCACTATTGACCAAAAGCTTCTGGTCATCCAACTTCTGGTTAACAACGGCTAACCAGAAGTTTGACCAGAGCTTGGAAGGAACGCACCATTAGGGGCACGGGATGCACTGAAACCGCACAGTACATAAACAGCCTTAAAAAAAGATTGAAAGAAAGAAAAAGAAGAAAAACAAAAACGGAAAATGCTCGCAAGCGCCAGAAATTGTTGAAAGTGCAATTGCTGACAACCGGAGTGTTGATAGCGGGGAGGGGAGCTTGATAGAATGGAGTAAAAAAAAAAAACAGCAACCACACACAAAACGCTCACCTTCTGTGGCTGCTGCTGCTGTTGCTGTTGCTGTTGCTGTTGCTGTTGCTGTTGCTGTTGCTGTTGCTGCTCCTCCTGCTGCTCCCGCTGAGCTGCAGCAGCTGCCGATGCTGACCCGGCACTCTCTTGACTAGTCGCGCTGACGGCAAAAACACAAGAACACACGGGGGCAAGCCCATCCGAAGAGATACAAACGAGGGAAGCGTGATTGCAGGCGAGAACGGAAGAAGAGGGAGGACAGAGAGGAAGAGACCTTCCCCTGGGTGGATGTACATGGCGGCTCAAGCAAGCAGTGGCTTGATTCACCGGCGTGCGGATACAAGAGCAGCGAATGCCCCCATGAGAGCTCAAGTTCCTCCTCACCTGCGGCGAGCGTCCCCGGGGCGGGTCGCGTGGAGCGTGACCCCCGTGGGGCCTCCGTTGACGCTACTGCTGCTGCTGCTGCTGCTGCTGCTGCCGCTGCGGTTGAGCGCCCTGAGCGCCGCCTCTGCAGCACGCACATCGTAGAACTCCACCAGCCTGTGCTGCTGCTGCTGCTGCTGCCCCGGAGCCTCCCGGATCTGCCCACAGGAGTGTGAGGGGCGCGACGGGGGAGGCAGGGAGAAGGGGAGGGGCGGGGAGGCGGGAAGGGAAGGGGGGGGGAGGGGAGGGGAGGGAAGAGGAGATATAGCAGGTGTTCTCATGAGCATGCTCAAGCATACGTTCCCATGTCGTAAAACTCGACCAGTCTGCACTGCTGCTGCCTGGGGGCCTTGCAGAGACGAGAGAGTGGTGTAGCAGGAAAGTGGCGGGAGGTGGAGTGAGTGAAGCAAGAGAGCGGCGGAGCGGGACGGAGTGAACCAGGAAGCAGAGACAGACAAGGAAGGCTGACCTCCTTGACGTCGCCGTAAGCGGAGAAGATGCGGAGCAGGTCGTGGTGCGTGGTGGCAGCAGTGGCGCCGCTGGTGGTGGCGTTGGCGGATGCAGTCGCGACGGGCACCAACAGCGTGCCCTGATTCACGTCCTTGTCCGACGGGTTATCCTGCTGCCGGGCGGGCATACAGACAGACGCAACGACGGCCATTGCCAGCGCACGGAGAGAGTGTTGGGAGAGTGATAGTGAGCGAAACGCACGCAGAACTGACACGTACAGACGCGTAGAAAGATATGAAGAGAGATTAACGGACAGCTAAGAACCTTGCACACAGCAAGAGCCACACGACACGAGGACACGTGTGTGTGGACATGTATGAGCACTCACAGCTACAGATACGTACAGACACTTCAATTCACGCGTACAAACACGCAAAGACACGTACGCAGGGAGGCAGGCATGGGAGGAAGTTTTAAGCAACTTCTGTAGCGCACTGCGCGCAGCCATGCCCTGGGGATGCTGAATGAACCCTTAGCAAAGGACACGGGACGTTGGGGTATCAAATTTACGCCAAGGGATATGCAACGGATGGAAGTTGGATGTGAGCGGACGGACCTTGGGGATGGAGAAGTGGATGTCGAGGTTGCGGCGGCGCAGCGGCGTGCCCTGCAGCGCGGCCATGGCGGCGAGGGCGGCGCGCAGGTCGTAGAAGGACACCATCACGAACCCGCGGTGCTTGCACGCCACGTACAGCGTGCGGATGTCCCCGTGGCGCTAAGGGGGGGAACGGGGGAACAGGGGGACGGGAAGGGTGTGGAGGGGGACGAAGGGGATGGGGGGGAAGGAGGGAGAGAGAACACTTTTGAGTCGTCTCAGAGCGAGGTGCCTGCGCGTTGTGTACAGCGTGCGCACGATAGGAGGAAGCGGGGGGGAGGGGACGAGGAGGGGGGACGCGAAGGAATGGTGATCTTTGAGTGGTCTCAAAAAGCGGATGTTGGCGGGTTGAAACGAGGGGAATGGTTCTGTTGCGCACCTCAAACAGCGCGCGCAGCTCCGCCTCCTCCACGCTGCTGTTGATGTTCCGCACGAACAGAGTCCGCGACGGCCGCTCCCCGCGCGGATGCTCACTCCCCGCGCCCTGCGCTGCGCCTGCGAACGCGGACGCGGACGCCGCTACCGCCACCGTCGCCATCATCCCCGCCGCAGCCGCAGCCTGGCCCCTACCCGCCCCCTTGAGAACCGCGCTTTGCGCAACACCGCGAGTACCAGCAGCACCAGCAGCAGAACCACCACCAGCAGCGGCGGCGGAAAAGGCATCGCGCGGAAGCGGCAGGCGGCGGAAGCTTCCCTGCGGCGCCATGCCGTCGGCGGGGTCGAGATCTAGCTCCATGCCTCCGCTGCTGCAGAACAAATCGTCCGCCGCGTCGTCCCCCTCCGCGCCATCCCCCTCCCCGCCATCGTCCCCCGCGCCTCCCCCTTCCCCCCTTCCGCTGCCCGCGCTCCCCCCCGCGCGCCTGCTGCTGCTCGCGCGACGGGCTGCGCCGGTCGAATCGGATCTCGCGACAGCAGCAGCGGCGGCAGCAGCAGCGGCGGCGGCGACGGCTTCCGATCGCAGGTGTCGTTCGTACTCCTCTGCGATGTCTGCGAAGAGCTCTTCCTCGTCGTCCGGAAGGATCTGCGACGGGAGTTGATCGGCGAAAGCACGAGGCACGTCGCGATCCAGACCTAAAACCGGCGGGCCTTGGTTCGCAAGATCCGTGCCTTGCAGCTGCACCAGCTGACCCTGCTGTGCCTGCTGTGCCTGCTGCTGTTGCTGCTGCATGAATGGACGCATGACAGGATTTACAGGATGCAGATTCAAATGCTGCTGGGCTATCAGATCCTGACCCGGGTGCTGCTGCTGCTGCGGCGGCTGCTGGTGCCTTGCAAGCGACGGCAGCTGAAACGCGGCGTGCGAGTTGAACGACGAGCCTTCCGCGTAGCTACTGCCGTGCACCGCGGCGAGACCTCCCGCCACCATGGATTCCCCCATACCGTCACTCCCCAACCCTGCTCCCTTCCCAACGTGCCCCAGGCCACCGTTGCCGCCGCCAAACGCGTCGCCAAACCCGCCGCTAAATCCGCCGTTAAAACCGTCGCCAAATCCAACAATCGGGTTACCCTGGCTGCCAACGCCGCCGATGATCGAGCTGTTGCTGCCTTGCGATGCTGGTAACCCTACCGGACCGTTTCGCGGCCACGAATGGCCTCCGCCGAGATAGTCGCTGGTAAGATCTGTGGGGGAGATCCGCCTACTACCGATAACCCCGGGAGTACCGAACAGGCTCGAGCCCCCATTGCTGCTGCTGCCAAGAAACGAGGCTCCTGCAGGCAAGGGCAGGCCGGGAAAACCGCCGCTGATGCCGCTGCCGCTGCCGCTGCCGCCGCCGCTGCTATTGCTGTTGCTGTTGCTGCTGACAGTCGTTGAATCGTCCAGTGAAATGTGATGCGCCGACGGCGATGATCCCGAAACGTCAGTGAACGCAACTGGGGGGAATAGGAGGGTGAAGTCAAGCCAAGGAGGAACCGGGAGAAAGAGCAAGAGGAAAAGCGGATTTAGGTGAGAGCAGGTGGGACAGTGATCCTGGCGGAAACAAACAGCCAACGGGACTCCGGCACTTGTGAACCATGAAAACTGAATCCGTGACGATTCGAACACCGCGAACGGTAGTGAAAGGCTTAAATCATCGGATAAGGCAGAGCGGTTAGGAATGGATTGGTCTGACGCGACAGTCGAGTGGAAGTGAGTGAAGGAGCGACAAAGACAAGGAAGTACATGCTATCGTGGGAGACGGGGAAACGGATCCGTGAAGCTGTTGGAGAAGGATGGATGACGTATACACGTATAAATTAGTTGATAGTTATGCTGATAGTTAAGCTGGTTTTACGGGTAAATATGGGAGCCAACGCAGCGACAAAACGAGGGGTCAGTTGGACCTTCTAAGTTGATCCAGCACACGGGATCCAGCAAAGGCAGAGTCGAGGTGACTTATAAGCGGACTTATGAGTCGACTTAGCAGTCACCTCGTTAAAGGTCCGGACCTATCGAGATCCCAAACACGAACAATTCAACGATAACCAGAACGCCTAGATGATCCACGCTGAATTAGGGAACAGGAGAGGAACAGAACAGCGAGGAAATACCTGATACGTCGCTTTCAAGCCATTAATTATAAGCAACAACCAAACAGGCACGGATCAAGGCCAGCGCGAACTTACGTTTGGACTCAAACAGGGAGGAGAGCGAAGCGGTGTTGAAAATGGTGGTTTCAGGGTCTGAGACGGCGGCAGCGGAGAGCATCGTGGATCCCGGGCCTGGAGTCTCTACCGTATGCCTGTGTCGATGGCTCTGCATTGTTGTCACCGACATCTCATTCCGCTACCCAGAGCAAGACAGCTATTCCCAGAAGACCAGAACCCTACACAACAGCATATGATACTGTACACCACAAATCTGCTTCCCGCAACCTATCCACGACAGACTGCTTTCTGTCTCTAGTGGTTATATACGCTACTCAACGCAAAAACCCACAGGTTCCGATCAGCACGTCGGAGGCAAACCACATAGACAGAAAGAGGACTCTTCGTCGGCCATGGATAGATGAATGTCATAAGCTTGGCTAAACTGCACAAGAGCGAGCAGCTGCAGAGCCTGATAAAGGAGCTAGGGTTGACGAGGGTTTGGTGGGAGAGGTGCAGCGGGCTCGGGAGGGAGGGTAGGGAGGGAAGGGTGGTCGTGTCGTGTGAGAGTCGTGACTGGTGAGGTGAGGAGCTGTGAGTCCCCGAGCCACGGGAACATGAGGGTGAAGGATCTGGTTTGGCCAAGGCTAGGCAAGTGAAGGCGAGGCAAGGAGGGTGACAAGAGGGAACGCGGGGAAGGGAAACGGCGGCGATTGGGAAGGGGTGGAATGGGAGAGATGCGATGCCCGAAAGGGTTTTTTCTGAACAGTGGTTTCGTTTTTTCCTTGAGAACGAATTCAGTTTCTACAAGGTTCTGTACCGCTGTAAGACTGTACATTACAGCATCAACCCAGTTTTGCTCGAGAACCTGGAGCGTAATTGAAAATAAGTCCAGGAGGAGTTGAAGCTGTAGAATTCTGTTCTCCCGTCTGCGCCCCGCCTTCGTCACCTGCCCTCAGTCAACGTCTTCGGCACGAAATTTGTGATCCTCGGATTTGCTGGGGGGAGGGAACGAAAATTAGGGGAGCGTCAGAAGAACTTGGCTGGTTGGAGGGGCCAACCAACCAAACGACAGTTGTGAAATATCACGGGGGAAAAGGCTTGGTGAAGGAACACGCATGAGTGATCTGCCTCCCCGGGACATGTACAGTATCGTCAGTTCGCTCGGATGGAAAGGCATAGTAGGGAACCCAGTGACGCTACATTTTCAGGTGTAATACTCCAATGACGATCGTTTTTCAAGACTATATAGATCCAACAATCAGTTTGCCCCCAGCACAACTACGTCTAACAGCAGCACCCGTGGCATGAATGCGCGGGCCCAAGGCATGTTACGGGGTTCGGAGGTCTGGTGTGAGCCACACACTTGGGAGCAAGGGGTTGAAAGGTTGGAGCATGATTGGCCAAAAGTACTCCTTGTCTTACTCAAGTCTCAGCTTCGGGCCGACGATTTCCGAAGCTGTGACCACGTGTTTGAAAGGGGTTGGTTGATTCAGGCTCCCAGTACTGTGAAGCATTTCTCCGATTGCTGACGTGTATTTCCCGCCATACAGCAAAATCACACACTCCAGACTTCTCTCCCCAGTTGAACAGAGATCTCTGTGATGGTCGTTGAGAGCCGTCGCAGAAAGTTGCAGATACAGTGCAATATCTAGGCAATTGTTACAGTATTTAAGTACTTTTTACATTAACCAGTTGCCGTGCTAATTCTACAACTTCCTCTAAAGGACAATCAGTCTTGATGGCTGTGACCTCCACATGCGACCTTGAAACCACAAAACCGCGCTGGAAAGAAAACAAGGACAAACAAAAGTTACAGAAAACAAAAAAGAACAGGCCAGTTCACAGCAGCAGCATGATTCAGAAGCCAAGACATAGGTTATGTAGGCCATGCAGAAACATACCTCCTTCAGCAACCTCATAAGCTCTGAACGTGGAGGCGTGGGTACGCCTGCAAGCTTCGAAACCTGTTCAAGAAAAAGCACACGATGAAGATGTGTTTGCACACTGGGAAAAAGAAACACACACCATGGATGCACGAACAATAATGCCATGCTATGCACGCGGCACTCACATGATCCATCTTAAAGAACCACGGAGGCAGTCTCTCCTGTGCTTCCTCCTGCATCACCTCCAGCACCCGCCCTGCTGCCTTCCACCCTCTCACCCGCGCATCTTCCGCCATGTGGCGCAACTCCATTGGGTCGTGCAGTGGGCCCACCCACAGCGGCCCCACCACCACCATGCGCTGGCAGAGGGATGGAGTGGATAAGCAGATGGGAGTGGATGCGGGGGGGGGGGGGGGTGAAGAGGTTAAGCAGAAGCGGTTGGGAGAAGGTGGGATTTGGAAAGGGAATACTGAGGTACGGTGGTTTGAGGCAAGATAGGTCAGTGGGAAAGAGGGAGGATACGAGGTAAGCGTGTGGGGCGATCTGCGATGGGGCATGAGGGAATATGGGGAGGGATGATGCGGGTTGGGTGGAAGGAGGTAGCCAAGGCAGACAAAGTGCAGATCAGAGGGGGGCTGTGAGTGCACGCACCCGGAGGCCCATTTGACTGAGCATTTGATGATCATCCATGCCACCTGACACTGGCTGCTGCTGCTGCTGCTGCTGCTGCTGCTGCTGGGAGGGAGAAGAGCTTGTTTCCATCGACGGATTCTCGAAGGAAGGGGGGGTTAACGAAGAAAGCGAAGTGGGAGACGTGGCGGCAGCAGCAGCAGCAGCAGCAGAAGCATGGGTTGGATGGCCCTTTCTCTGCAGGCAATTGCAGAGAGCACAGCCGAGCGCATCCCATGCCAGCACCTTGGAGTGCCCACACGAATGGCAGTGCGCGATGAATCCATAGTTCCTGCTCGTGGGCGCGCCGAGGGAGGAGAAGGGAGGGAAAAGGGTTGGAGTTGGAAAATGCAGACCGGCATACAGCGTACCAGGCAAAATGCAACGTGCGACCCACATGGGTGATGGCTTAGGGACAGAGACGCATACCATACCAAACCCACACAGGCTCTCAGCACTCCCCGTTACCCCTCTCCCCCCTCTCCCCTCCCTTCCCCCCCCCCTCTCTCCCTTCCCTTCCGCCCTCTCTCCCTGCGCCTGCACTCACTCGCCCTGCCACTGCTGGTGCAGGGACGTGGGGTGCACGCGCACGAGAGCGCGGAAGACAGGCCCGTGGGGCGCGTAGAGGGAGAACACGGGGGCCACCCCACTCCCCACTCTCCCCCCTCCCCTCCCTCCCCTCCCTCGCCTTCCCTCCCGGCCCTCGGTCCCTCCCATCCCTCCCGTCTTTCCGTCCCTCTCCTCCCTCCCCTCTCTCCCTCGCCCCCACTCACTCGCCCTGCCACGGTTGGTGTGGGGAGGCGGGGTGCACGCGCACGAGAGCGCGGAAGACAGGCCCGTGGGGCGCGTAGAGGGAGAACACGGGGGCCACTGTGAGCTTGCGCGAGGCTGCTTCGCGCACCGCCGCCCCCAGCAGCATGCGCAGCCCCAGCTCGTTGCAGAAGGGCAGCGGGCGCATGTATGTGCCGTATGCTGCCAGCGCTCTGGGATTGGGGGTGGAGGTATCAGGAGAAGGAAGGGAAGGAAGGGAAGGAGGGAGGGAGGGAGGGTGGGAGGGTGGGAGGGTGCGAGGGAAGGAGGGTGAAGGATAGAGCGGGGACGAGTGTGAGGGCGTGGAGAATAGGCATGCCGGTAGCCAGCAGGCTAGAACACTAGAATGGAGCATGGCATGGCATTGCAACAGCAGGCCCCACCCCAGCAGGCAGTGCATGGCAAGGCAAGGCAAGGCAGGGCAGGGCAGGGCAGGGCAGGGCAGGGCAGGGCAGGGCAGGGCAGGGCAGGGCAGGGCAGGGCAGGGCAGGGCAGGGCAGGGCAGGGCAGGGCAGGGCAGGGCAGGGCAGGGCAGGGCAGGGCAGGGCAGGGCAGGGCAGGGCAGGGCAGGGCAGGGCAGGGCAGGGCAGGGCAGGGCAGGGCAGGGCAGGGCAGGGCAGGGCAGGGCAGAGACCGGAAGGGAGCGTGACCAGCGGAGGAGAAGCCGTCGGTGGCGGTGAGGTAGAGCAGCCCTCCCAGTGCCGTGGCTGCCAGCGCCGGGCCTATGAACCGCGTGTCACTGCCAAACGCATCCACGTCCACCAGGTCGAAGAATGCCCGTTGCTGGCGTGGGGGAGAGAGGGGAGGGATGGGGGGGGAAAGAGGGGGGGAAATAGGGAGGGGGGAGAGGTGGGTGGGAAGGCCTGATGAAGCGCGTGGCACTGCCAAACGCGTCCACGTCTACCAGGTCGAAGAATGCCCGTTGCTGGCGGGCGGGCGGGAAGGGGGGGGGATGGAGGAGGGGAGGGGAAGAAGGGGGAAGGAGGGGGGCAAGAGAGGGAAACCGAGGAGGGGAAGAACTTGCGAGCGATTTATTAGAATATCAACACTAGCTTGGAGGGGGAATAAGGGGGGGAGGGGAAGATGGGAAGCCGCCATGCAGATTGAAGGGGACCTCATTGCTAGGGAAAAGGGGGGAGAGAGGGAGGGAGAGAGCGGAAGGGGTCCACACTCTTATCCTTCTCCTCCAAGGGGCTGATATCCCAGGAAAGAAGAGCGGTGCTGTGGTATGGTTGTGAAATAGAAGGCCCGTTCCACACGTGTGCTGTGCACCCCATTCCACCAGGTACAGTACAGTCTCAGAACGCCCGTTGCGGTGGTGTTGTGAAGAGGGTGAGGAGGAGTGTCAGGAGAGGAGTGCGGAGGGAAATGCGGAGAGGAGTACGGAGGGGAGTGGGAGCAGAGAGGGAGAGAGCGCGGACCTCGTAGCAGCGGTTGAGCACTCGGAGCCCGTCCTCGTGTGTCACCCGCCACCTGCTCGTCTCCCTCCCCGACTTGCCCTCCCGCGCCGTCCGCCACCGCCGATCCCCCTCGTCCTCCTCCGCCTCTTCCTCCCCCTCCGCGTCCCCCTCCGCCTCCTTTTGCCCCGGGCGAGAGTCGACGGATGTAGCCGCAGCAGCAGCAGCAGCAGGAGCAGGAGCAGCAACGTCGGTAGCAGCAGCCACGTCAGCAGCGGCGTCAGCGGCGGCACCAGTGGCATCATCAGCGGCGCCAGACACGGCTAGCAGGTTAGCGACGAGCGCGGTGTGGGTGTCCACGGACGCGTCGTTGCACCACACGAAAGTCGCGCCGCCCTGCGACAGGTACCGCGCTCCGCGCACGCCGCTCCCGCTCAGCACGTCCAGAACCCGAAACCCCCGCCGCCGCCGCCGCTGCTGCTCCTTCATCCCCCGCCCTGAACCCTCCGCCTCCGCGTCTCTCCGGGCTCTTCCTTCCCCCTGTCTCCCCCCTCCCCTGCCCCGCGCCTCTCCCGCCTCCACCGCACCCCCGTTCGCCTGGCCTGTCTCGCCCCCCGGGCTGCGCTGCTCTTCCGCCGCCCTCCGCGTGCGCGCATCCCGCCACGCAACGAGAGTGGCCAAGTCGCGCCCGACGGCGCTCTCGCTACGGTAGAACGACCCTTGCACCTGCAGGCGCAGCCCGCGCTCCTCCACCCACTGCACGCCTGATTCCCCCTCCCCCTCCCCCTCCGCTTTCCCCGCCCCCTGCCGCTGCGCGCCCGCGCTTTCTTCTACCTCGTCGCCGCTCTGCGCATCGCTGCGCCGTGTGGCGCAAACCACGCGCGGATACGAACATTGATCATCTCCCCTTCTTCCGCGCCGACCGTGCCGCCGGGAAATTGCAACGGTTGAACCCAGAATCTCGGGGCGCCAATTCGGAGCGATGCAATACAGCGAGCCCGTAAGAGAAGTGCGGAGACGAGGTAAAAGCGCGGGAGCGGACAGGGGAGCAAAAGGAGTGGGGTTTGGGGCAATCAGAATCGTGCGCTCCCACGCTGCTGCTGCAGCCATGGTGGATCTCTGTGCTTGGTGAGAGTTGAAACCGAACGCAAATTCAAAAAAATCGTGCTCGCATTTTCCCGAATTGCGGTTGTCGCGATGATCCGGCGATGCACTGGCGAGCGTGACTCGATACAATGAGCGTCTAAATGTGAGTATTGCACTGCATATTTTGTTTGCATGTGGTGTAGCAAAGTTTGGGAGAACTTCAGAAAGCCATGATTTCTTGAACGTTTGTGCTTGAAAACAAGCGCAATGGGGAATGAATATAGAGTATACTTCAATAACAGAAATACAAGTGGAATTATACGCATAGTGTAAGGTCACACCTTCATTCCCATGTAATCGAGAGCTCTGGACACTAGCAAGCAGCTTGATGGGCAGCAAGGGCTCTCTTTGAAAAGAAGTAGCGCGTGGGGGGTCGACTCTTTAGGCGCCCCAGAATCTGTGTCAAGGCCAGCAGCAGCAGCACTGCCAGTGGAAGCAGCAGCTGCAGCATCAGCAGATCGTGAGGCGCAAGAAAATCAGACAAAGCCACTGCAGCCCTGGGGGTGGCCGTGGCTGCAGCCACACCTCCAGCCCCCTCAGTGCCACCTATAGTCAGGGGGGAGGCCGTGGGGGGGGGGCACAGGGAGGTGTGGAATGCGGTGCATGGGGGGCATTGGTACAAAAGAGTGAGTGTCGTGGGTTGCGTGGTGCATGGCACATGAAGCACATCAGAAGGATGTTCCAGAAAAGCGGATGTGAATAGGCATGTGACAGGAGCGTATGAGCAAGTGTTTGTTGAGCCTAGACTCATCCTCAAGTAAGGGAGCTGTTGCGGAGGAGGTATGGGAGAACGTGAAGGGAGAGCAGGTGCACAGCAGCACGAGCACACACGATGCTGACTCCGTGTGAGCAGTGGGGTGGAGTGGAGTGGAGGGAACCAAGTCCGGCTTGGTTCACTCCACTCCACTCCACTGCCCACACTTAACAGGTGCACAGCAGCATGTGCGCAGCAGCAGGTGCACAGCAGCACAAGCACACAAGATGCTGATGCAGTGTGAGCAGTGGAGTTGAGGTGACCAAGCCGGACTTGGACTTCCGAGCACGAATGTGTGGGTTCACCTGGATGGGAGTGGTGGCACGGCACTGGCACCCCCCCACCGCCCGCACTGGCACTGTTCCTCAGATCTGTGAGCCTTTGTGAGCAAGCAGGCTGACTTTTGAGTCGACTCAAAAGTCACCCCCCCACCGCCCACCCCGCACTGGCACTGTTCCTCAGATGTGTGAACCGCACTGCCTTTGTGAGCAAGCATGTTGGCAAGCAGGCTTTGGAAGACAAGATGCTGCTGGGATGGGATGAGCTCATGGCTGAAAGGGAAGAGAGAGGAAGAAGTGAGCAACTAGTCATGCATTGGTCAGCAGGCGGCATACCGTGAGGGACGCACGTGCCAGCCTTCGGCCCTGGCGTGTACCCCTCATCACAGACGCACTGGCCCTCAGGTTCAATAGAGGGGAGTTCGGAACGATCAGGCTTGAAGGAGCACACGCCATGGCCGCTGCACGACGGGGTGAGCGGATGCGCCCCACAGAACGCCCGGCACTCGCTGGCTCTCCTCTGCTTCTGCACAGGGAGGCAGAAATTGGAGTTGTCTTCAAGGCAGTTGTGGTGTAACAGACACATGATGTGGTGATCGTAAGGGTCGTCTGCGATTGAGTCTGGAAGGGGGTTAGCGTCTGCTGTGGCTGTGAGGTAGTTGCTGCGCGCGGACACCTCGACGATATGGGGCATGTCACGGAAGGAGGGCAGCTTTTCTGACAACTGGTTGTCATAAAGGTGGCTGCGATGCAAGGGTAAGGCAGGAAGGGAAGAGGTGGAAAACTGTTGTGGAAAAGGGAGTGAAGGGACAGAAGAAGCATGTGCGTGCTGAATGGGATAGCATGTCGATGCTAGTTGTAAGGGGCTTTTGAGTCATCGATTCCCTCGTCAGCGCTGACACGCGTAACCTTCGATTCCTCTTATTGTCTCAAGTGTAGGCAGAATGTGACTGGATAGGCAGAATAGGATTAGACTGATAGAATGGAATTGGGTAGATAGAATGGAATTGTGGTGGGTAGTATAAAGGCATTCTGGAGGAAATAATCCAAACGCATCAAGACATGAGTAAAGAAATGACTGTGAAAGGCCTTTTGGGTCGACATGAACAATGCTTAACTCAAGAAGGAAGGGGAGAGTTGACTCTTGAGTCGACTCAAAAGTCAAATTTTGAGTCTACTTAAAAGTCAACTCCTTTTGGGTCGACATGAATAATGGTCAACTTGAGAAGGAAGTGGAGAGTAAGTGGTATTCTTTCAGACAGACCTTTCAAGGTGTGGCCTTCAGCAAGCAAAAAGGAAGAGACGGGTGGGTAGCAGAAATCAAGGTGAAGGCGAGGTGATGCGAGGAGCAGGGGTAGCGTTTTATAGCAAAGAATAGCCATCCAGAGATGATTGCTCACGGTGACTGCAGCTGGTTGCGTTAAAAAACCCTCAACCAGAGGTGACTCAGCAGACATTCTTTTGAGTCGACAGAGCAGGTAACACTGACATGTTGTTCAACAAGAAGTAGTCAAACACTTGAGCAGACACTTGAGTGTGGTGACAGCAGAGGGGGTAAAACTAACTGACAGGAATACGAGATTCGTGAGCGTGGTGATGGCAGCAGGTATCGTCCCTGCAAGGCGGTTGTTGCTGAGTCTCCTGAAGGTGCGTGGATAAATGGACATGGACAGAAGGTGAGAAGGCGTATGACTCGTGTGGGAGTGCATGACTCTTAAGTCATGGATTGCTACGGACCCTGGCTGGGCAACAGTGGTCACACGGCGAGTTAAACTTGACCTGACTCGTTACGAGTTTTTTCTTTCTTTCGAAAAGAACTAGCCTATAAAGGACAATACCGAATCGAGCCCGGCCCGACGACTTCTCAGGCGCCTCAAAAGTCGAGCCCGGCCCGAGTGTAGAAAATCTGGGGCGAGTTCTTCTCTACTCGCCTTGGTACTCTCCTATACATTGCCTTCTTCTCGCCCCTCGTCCTCCAATTCCGATGATCTTCCTATTCACCCTCTCGAGCCCCCAACGCTTGGCAGAGAGAGGCAGGCGGAAAGAAGTGACGGAGAGGCGGGTGGAGTGGGAGGAGAATGGGCGCACAGGCTGGTGAGTGCGGTGAGGTGGGCAATGCAGGCGGGAATGGTGCCACTCAGCTTGTTGCCTTGGAGGTTCCTGCCATGGGGTGGGATGGGATGGGATGGGAAGGTGCGATATGGTATGGTGTGGAATGGGATGGGATGAGATGGGATGGGATGGGATGGTATGGTATGGTATGGTATGGCATGGCATGGCATGGCATGGCATGGCATGGCATGGTATGGTATGGTATGGTATGGTAAGGTATGGGATGGGATGGGAGGGGATGGGATGGCATGGGATGGGATGGGATGGGATGGGATGGGATGGGGACGGAAGGCGAGGCCATTACCCCATAGGGATGCGTACACTCGCTCACTCACTCACCCATTCATTCACTCACTCAGGCACCCACCCTCTCATCCCCTCACTCACTCACTCACACTTTCATCCACCCGTCACTGGGAGGACCTATGAGGCTACCACACCTGATCATCCCACAGCACCTTGCATGCCTTCCTCATCACCACTCACAACTCCCTTAGCTGCTTGAGGTTGCTGATTGCCTCTGGAATGGAGCCTGAGAGACGGGTGTAGCTGAGTCTCCTGGAGCATTGCGAGGGAGGGAGGACGGCGGAGAGGGGAAGGGTGGAGCGGGGATGGGCAGAGAGGGCGAATAGGGGATGGGCAGAGAGGAGAAGGGCAGAGAGGGGAAGGGGAGGTATTACAGGTGGAAGGCAGGGAGGGGAATAATGATTTCAAGCAGTTCAAGTGGGAAACTGAAGTGGAGGATGGATGGGAGCAGTGCAGATTGAATTTGAAGAAAATGCAACCTAAATTTTCACCCCGGTTCGCCCAGATGCTCAACCCTACTTACAGTGCAATGGCATGCTTACAGTGCAATGACATGCTTACAGTGCAATGACATGCTTACAGTGCAATGACATGCTTACAGTGCAATGGCATGCTTACAGTGCAATGGCATGCTTACAGTGCAATGACATGCTTACAGTGCAATGACATGCTTACAGTGCAATGACATGCTTACAGTGCAATGACATGCTTACAGTGCAATGACATGCTTACAGTGCAATGACATGCTTACAGTGCAATGACATGCTTACAGTGCAATGACATGCTTACAGTGCAATGACATGCTTACAGTGCAATGACATGCTTACAGTGCAATGACATGCTTACAGTGCAACGCCATGCTTAAAATGCAAAGACATGCTTACAGTGCAACGCCATGCTTACAATGCAATGACATGCTTACAGTGCAATGACATGCTTACAGTGCAATGACATGCTTACAGTGCAATGACATGCTTACAATGCAATGACATGCTTACAGTGCAATGACATGCTTACAGTGCAATGACATGCTTACAGTGCAATGCCATGCTTACAGTGCAATGACATGCTTACAGTGCAATGACATGCTTACAGTGCAATGACATGCTTACAGTGCAATGACATGCTTACAGTGCAATGACATGCTTACAGTGCAATGACATGCTTACAGTGCAATGCCATGCTTAAAATGCAATGACATGCTTACAGTGCAATGCCATGCTTACAGTGCAATGAAATGCTTATAGTGCAATGACATGCTTACAGTGCAATGACATGCTTACAGTGCAATGACATGCTTACAGTGCAAAGACATGCTTACAGTGCAATGCCATGCTTAAAATGCAATGACATGCTTACAGTGCAATGACATGCTTACAGTGCAATGCCATGCTTACAGTGCAATGACATGCTTACAGTGCAATGACATGCTTACAGTGCAATGACATGCTTACAGTTCAGTGACATGCTTACAGTGCAATGACATGCTTACAGTGCAAAGACATGCTTACAGT